ACTGAATTAGATTTTTTAAATGTTTTTATTATAAGATCCATTGACTTAACTTTTTCATAAGATTATGAGTCTGTATTGCAACTGAACTAAGACTTTTGCATTATATTTAATATTTTATGCTGCTTAACTTTTATTACAAAGTCTTCATTATTATACAGGATATACCACTAATCGTTACACTGTATTTGGCAGCTGAAACAGCACACTTCTCACATAGACCTGCCTTGGTAGCCAGTTATTCATAGCCCGCTTTTCTGCTGTAGTTTAGCTTACCTTATTTCATAGAAGAATATTGAAGTGACAGCTCTCTGCTTCTAGGCTTGCCTCACATCATGAGGATAAGTTCCTGGACACATGAAAGTTGCTGTTTGGAATAGTAGAAATTTCATGCCTGATATTTTCTTGAAGTTCTTCCAAAGAGTGCGGATTTCAGATGAAACTGAACTTGATATTTATAATTTATAATTCGTAACCTTTCAAAAGTATCTTGCTTTTTTTTAAGTAAATACCAGTCAGTGCCTGTGTTTGAAGACTCACAAATGATTAAAAAGCACGGGACTTACAGATGTTTATAATAAAGGTTGGTCCTAGGGAGTGAAGAGCCAGATTGTTAGGTTTTTATGGGGCTTCTTAACAATGTAAAGTAATTAAAGATAAACACTTGAGTTGTGAACCACAATTGTTTTTTTATGTATGTAGAGACAGGATGCAATTAAATATGTTCTGTGTTGTGTTTTTGGAATGAGGAATTACTTCTAGAATACTGTGATAAAAATGTTAGATTATCATGAAAATAAAACAACAGTGAGGTTAATTACAGTGGCTACAACATAAAGAGGGAAGGGAAGATGGAAATGGTAAAGGGGAGCAAGATGGCAAAGAGTCTGTGTGAGCATATTCAGTGTAACTGAAAATATTTTTTTCCCCTTGTAATTTTGACATAATGGGTGGCATTTTGATACACTGACTTTTACATTATAGTCTTTTGTGAATCAAAGTAATTAACATAACACTAGCAATATAGGCACATGCCTTAACTCGAATGTAATACTTCTAGAGTCTAAATATAATAATTTCACATCTAATAGTGTACAAAGGACTGGGTTATCTCTCCAGATGTACTTTTGCTTAATGGTCTTCTCCTCTCTCCCACCCTCCTTTCCACATGTGTATTTGTACTGGTCAGTCAGGCCCAGAGTTTTATTATGACGATTGTACACAATATTTTGTAGCTAAAGATGTCTTTCTGTAATAAATACATGTCAAAAGCTGCATGTATACCTGTGAATATAAAATTACAGAAAACTCATCTGAGAATTGAACTCTCAGGGTGGTGAAGATGTTTATTGTGCTCTTCTTCGTTGATGTCATGTATGCTTGTAGATGGTTATCTACATTTCTGTGGAAGACCACTACAGAGAACTTCATTATTTGATGACATAAATATAAAGTGAATTTAATGGAAAAAACATATTTACATTTTGCCATTTCTTTTTATAGTACTTACATTTTAAATTTACTTTTCTTGCCTATCTGTAAGCAAACTTTTGTGTTATGAAACTTAATCCAGATAAAATACTTGTGTTTAAAAGTTTAATATGCAGAGGTAAATGGCATTTGGTGTTTCAATAATAACAAGTGGACTGACTGTTCATTGCTTGTCATGTTACAATGACAGCAAAACATGTCAAATGCCGCAGATTGCAATATGGATTTTTAACTTTTTGTGTATAATCTAGTGAGAATTATTGTTTTGAGCTGCAGCCCCACATTTAAAACTGAAACCAGCTTTCTTAAAACAGGAAAATTAGGTTTTTATATCATGTAAGTGTTGTAAGGTAAATTTCAAATACTAATACTGCTAAGGTAAGTTTTACTTGGCATAATACCAGATTATAGATGATTAATGCAACTTAGGGTTTTCCCTGTTAAAAATTTCTTTTTAGTCTTATAAGTGTATAACATTAAAATGTTGATAAAAATATAGCTGCTAAATGTAGGCATTTATTAGAGATTCCAAATTTATGTCATGTTTTCAGTAGTGCCACTATCTTGGTTACCTTGTTTGCTTGTCCTATCTACTGCAGAATGTTACCCATGAAGCAGTCTAGATTCTACATATTTTCTTGGATCATACTAAGTAGGAGAATAGCCAGTTCTGATGAACAGCAGTGTTGATGCTGTGTTTATCAACAATGGAGATCTTGTTGCCGTTAGTATAAAATTCATATGTGAAAATCCCATTTCACATTCATGTGTATCAGTAGTAATAATTTGTTAGCATTTTTTCTGATCCGGATATTCTTAGAATCCACAAATCATATTTCATTTAATTAAAGTCTTTTGGGCAATTTTTTTTCATTCGGTATTAAATTGATGATCTGTTCTTTCTATCTTTTATGTAGCACTTCATCCCATTTTTGTAGATTCTTTGCCATCAAGCAGCCTTTTTAAGGATATACTCAAACTTTCATGAAAAGCATTTTTACATGTTGGGATTATTGGAATTAATTTTCTGCATTTTTATCGCAGAGAAAAGCTCCTTTGAATTGAGACAGTTTGTTGCAGTAATACCTCTTTGGCATTTCTTTCTTTAAATATGTATGAACATTTTCAGTCATATCATGAGCTCTGTGTAAGTCCATTTCATATTACAAGTCCAGGTACAGTTCACATAGTTCTTAAAATGTATCACAAATTAATGTTAAATAAAAAAATTCTACTGATATAATTTCCTTTACCAACCTTTGCTGCGCTTCTGGCTTTCTTGTCTTTGTTGCATTCGTCTTCAGCATCATCAAAATGAAGCACAAATTCTTCATAATATTGCAGTACTGAACAAGCTGACTGAGAACTTTAAACCACCCATCATGTCTAAAACCTGTCCAATTTACAAAATAAACTTTAGTGAATTTGTGCATACTTGTAATTCTCTACAGTTTCCTAGTGATTCATGGTAGGGCTCATATTGTTAATCATTGTGCACTTTGAGTCTGTTGATACTGATACCCAAAACAGCTTTTATGGTGTTACTGATAGAGATTTCAAATCTGTGATTGACACATGTCATACTGTAATTGAGGGAAATTTATGTTTTAGTAATTCCTGAACTTCACCATGAGTTCCTGGCATCACAGTTGCACCGTCACAAGCAACAGAAACTACACAAACATTCGTTCAAGTTCTCGTCTGTCATTCCATGGTCTGTAATAACTCGCACATACAAAATTAATGTAGTATTTTCTTTTACTGAAGGTTGTGGATTTGTTCATTTTTGGAAATTCTGTTTTTAGAAATAACAGTTTTCTCAATCAAGTGTAACTGGAAATTTTAATAGATATATTTATAGAGTGAAATAAATTGCCCGTATCAGCACCATAAAGTTTCTGTAAATTAATTTCATCATTAAAACCATTGAATGATTTTCTTTTTGATATTTTCACAGCAGAGAAAAAAAAACAGATTGTCTTCTGGGTTCAGATGCCATATAGTCTTGTAGTTGATTATCAACATTTTAGAGGAACATGTTTCCATCTTCTGGGTAGAATGCCAGAATATACTTTTTTAACCACTTCTTATAGGATGTGAAATATTTTGCAGTTGTAGCTTTCTAACAAGACAGTGATTTCATTCACACATTTTGCAATATTTCTTTCTTTGCTCCTCCCACTAACTTCAAGAATATACTCTGTGATCAGATGATTTCTTGTATAAGGACCCAGCTGTAGGGACAAACGTTTAGGTTTCTGGTCTCACATTTTCTTTTGTTTCTTTATGAAGATGCTGGGGACATCATAAATATCACTGTAATTGCTATTTCTGTCTTTTTAATAACATTTCCATCTGGTTGTATGAATTTTTAAGTTTTCTATAGCTTGAGCACATGTATGAGCATCTTTTGCACTACCTCTCATTGCTTTCACATAATATGTAATCCACCTTTCAAAATTACCAAAGTTGAACGGTACGTGTCAGATAACTAATAAGGATTATTCATTGTATGCCTAAAGATCTTTTTTGAACAGCAAACTTGAGGAGGGGAAACTGTCATTTAGATGGTCAAGAAATTCCCCCTTTCCATGTAATCTAGAGGTTTGTTAGTATTCACAAGAGCCTGTTGCTTTACCATATCCTGAGCTAGGTGAATGTATTCTGCATCCCCAAACCAAATTTTCTTAAAATCTATCTGAATAACCTTCCCCCCCCCCCCCCCAAGCGCCTACATGGCGTGTAGCAGGACAGCTTTACTTTTTTTACTTTATTTGAATATTATTCTCCTGTTTATGCATAGGTCTCTGAAGTTTTCTCTTTCCTTCAGGTTTTGTTTCAAACATTCTGTATGCATTTCACATCTCTCCCATTCAGCTTCTTACCCGAATTATCTCATCCTTCTTGATTTATTTACTCTAATATTTTGTGAAGAGTACAATTTGTGAATCTCATTATATGCAATTTTCTCCATCCTCCTGTTGCTCTCTTTTTCTTGGCTCCAAATGGTCTCCTCAGAATAAAGTAATTAAATAATAATTATAATTTAGTATAAATGATTTCGGGCAGAATTAAACATCGAAGCAGTGTTCTTCCAAATTCCCTCTAGTTATAGTAATAATACATAGCAGTAGAAATCTCTATAGGTATTTGTCATACAGCTACAGGTTTCTGTGGAGAGATGAAATGTCCGTCTGTATATATTGTTCTGTTTGAACAAAGCGTAAATACCGTATATCTTCAGTGGCAGCATATATTCTCTGTTAAGGTACAATTTACTAAATTAGAACGTTGAGACAACTTTTGTTAAAATATGTCCATGGAATTCTCAGTCCTCCTATTTTGCTTGTGATATCTTTGAAGTAGACCTATGTTAATGTACAGTCTGCATGTCTCTTACAAGGCACAGCAGTAGATGATGATGTAGTCCAGGAAAGCAAGGACCCTGTAGTGAAACAGGAGAAACAGGCATCTCAAGGGAAGAAGAAGCCATCTAAGAAGGGGCCTACAAGGGATGACAAAGCACGGGCTGTTGTGTCAGCTATTGAGGAGATAAAGCGAGAGGAGCTGATGTTGAGAGGTGTCATTGCGTATGGTAGTCTGGACCTGAAGACAGCTGGTGACATGACCGCACCTGTACCACTGCTGGGTCAGCCTATGGGACTGCCAAGTAATATGTAGTCACTTTTTGTTTACTTTCTTCTAGCATTGTAGCTGCTGCGTCAACACATCTAATCCTCTGTGTGTGTGTGTGTGTGTGTGTGTGTGTGTGTGTGTGTGAGAGTGAGTGAGAGACAATGAGTGGAAGACTTGATGAATGAATTTACTCCTTGCATGATATTTATGAATGCCTCATATTTGGCATTTGTGTAGGGATATGAAACATTAATGTACTCCATACCCTCAAAAAATGTTGAGGTCAAATGGTTAACACTCCTGCTTCATGTTCAGAAGGTCCCAGTTTCAAATTTTGGCAAGGAGACTGGCTATCCTTTCTGAGGTTTTTGTGTATTTCCTCAGTCCCTTCAGACAAATGCTGGATAGTATACAATAAAACCTCTCTAAGTTGGACACTTGGGGTTCCACGAAAATGTTTCCAACTTACAGAGGTGTCCAAGGTAGAGGGAAAAATTATCCTTTCAGATTGTGGTCTAATGACAATATAATCTATTTACTTACATACACTAACCACTGTAGGCTCACTTGAATTAAGAATTGATGACAATAGTATTAATAATAATCTTTTGAAGCCCGCTCCCATGCATTGCACATTACACCCCAGTCTCAATAACATTTTCTAAAGTTAATTCCACCAATTTTCGTTTCCCCATTGCAAAAAGAAAAATTCCACTCCTGTTAACACAGTCTGAACTCAAATGCAAGCACAGTACTGATGGAGTTAAAACTGTGTCTTCTGCAATACTGTAGTCCAGCTAAGGGTTCAGGAAAAGAATAGTTAAACACTTGCAATGCATTCCAGTGTCCATAAGATAATCCTCCAGAGAGGAGGCACTCATCAGTCAGAAATTCAAAATAACAAAATATGTAACTGAAAAAGTTTCCCTGAAAAGCATCGAAGGTAAGTGCATGCATGAACCTGTCCAACTTACAACAAAAGGGGTGTTCAATTTCCAGGATAAAGGGGTATCTAAGATATAGGGTATTGTGGATACATAAAATTATAGGATATTCGCCAGTTCCAATTAAAAGTGTCCAATATAAAGGGGTGTCCAACTTGAGGGGTTTTACTGTATTAAATATATCATGGCTATTTCCTTCCTACAGGACAAGGTACAAGAGAGGAGCTAGAATAAGGAAAACTGAAAAGACCCAGTCAAAAGGCCAACTATTATCCACCTTGAAAGCGTTTGACACTAGCCCTCTCCATGATTAGAAACCAATGACTAACAGTTTGTGATTTGTGACATGAACCAAATGTGCCCTTAGTGAATTGTATTCCTATTTGGTATTACCTGACAAATACTAGTGGAAATTAGCATGTATGTTTCTCAAACAGAGGAAAGGCAGATTTGGTTGATACTTTCATTCTGAACAGTAGATACATTTCCTTCTCTTTGCCACCACCCACATCACATTGTCCACATACCTTCTAGGGTGTTTGAGCTGGGACCCATACAGTAGTACTGTAATCTCAGTTTGTCTACAAATCATTCATTTCTTTTTCTGTCTCTTAAGGTGTTTAACATATATGTACATTTTAGAATTTATTATGCTGTTTTTGTTTTGCAGCTAAACCCAAGGATGAGTTTGATTTAAGTGGGAATCCATTATTAGAGCAGCAGAAAGGTGCAATTGAGTCACTGCTAGACAGTCTACTCTCACAGAGTGACAAAGCAATCAGTAATGACAAAGGTGCAGTGAATTCTGAGACAGAAGCAGATGCAGGAAGATCTGAAAGACGAGATGGAGGGAGGAGAAAGGAAGATAGGAAAAAGGACTCTGATAGAGGCTTCAGCAGTCGACGCAGATCCGATGGACGAGAAAGGCGAAGAAGCAAGGAACGACACAGTCGTAGTGGAAAAGATAGGCATAAAGATGAAAAGCGGTCCCGTGTCCCTCCGACAGAACTTCCCACAAGCTGGGCTCAGTTCCATTCAGGTGGTTATCGTATAGAAGAAATTCGACGCCTCAAACTGAAACTAGATGACCGAGATCTTGGAGGGAGTTCAAATGGCAGTCGCAGCAGAGGTAAACACCGTAGGAGGTCGAGGGATCACAGGAGCCGGTGAGGTTTAGACATATTTGTAATACTTTTATAATAATGCAGAATGCATTAACTTGTTATAGGCAAACTTGAAAGGGACATTTTAAATGGTCTCATTGACTAGGTTTCCATTTTATATGTATTCTCAGGTAATGAGGATTGTTTTGTACTTGATTTCAACTTTATTAGGTCATCCTATATCGTTTTATTGTGAAACATGATGTATGTTCTGATGAAAAATAGGATAATGATGTGGCAGGGCTTTTTCCCCCTGTACACTCATTGTTGTTAAATTCACACACTTTCACTTGTTTTTAGATAAGTTTTATAAAATGTCACTGACATTGACTGTATGAAAGTTCAGAATTTGCTTCTGAAAACATATTTTACTTTAATAATCATGATATACTGTTTTGACTGTGAATGAGTTCTCAAATTTGATGTCTCTTTTCTTTCTTCAGATCTCGAGAAGATAGGAAACCCCGAAAGTCACCAACTCAAGATGTTGATAAGGAATCTAAAACTGATGAAGACTTAGATCATTTATATCGCCCATTTGAGGGTCCATCTCGCTTGCGTTTCCCTCTGGTGATCACAAATTCAGCACAGATGATTATAGAATATCCCCGAAGTTTTGTTCATTATACAAAAACTCGGCCACCAGTTTCATACTGTGAGAATCCGAACTCATCCAGTGCTCACTTTCGTTCACGGACTGAAATATTTGGTGATGCTACCTCTGAGATGGTGACACTCATGCAGGAAATTATCAACAGTGAAGAGAAAGAGGAGCCCATTCGATTTAAACGAGAACCTGATGAGAATCTTTCCAGCAGCTTGGCAGCCCTGCAGGTGTCATATGATGAGGCAGAGGTTGGAGGTAGTCCATCCTCTCCTGAGAATGTTGCTGATGGCAGACGGAAAGAACGATCTTGGTATCCAGAGAAAGACTTTCTAATCTTGACAGAACATGAGGGTAAAGATGAAAATTCAATGTCTGAAGCAGAAATAGTTGTCAAAAATGAAAAGGAGGATTTAGAAGTGGATAGAGAGAATGTGACAGAAAGAAAACTCTCAATGGAAGTGATGGATGTTGTTGAAAATGACCACCATGCATTATCAAATAATGAAAATGGCAAAGAAAAAACACCTCAGATGCAATCTCCTGATGCACCTATTAATGTACCAAAAGCTGAAAGAACTACTGTTCGCTCAAAGTGGGACAGTGATTATGAAGAAGACATGATGTCAGCTGAAGAAGCTCAACGTGATGTCATTGAAAAGGAAACCTTTAATCATGAACTAGAGGTTACTAGCAAAGTCATTGATCAAGATTATTTAGTAGAGGAGAGTAAAAATAGGAGCACTGGTGAGTATGATAAGAGCTCAGACACTCAAGAAGAAGAGCAGCCATTATATGATGGAGAGGGGCAAAGTTCAAGGAAGGAAAAACATTATACAAAGATACATCTGGAAGAAAGAAGCAGTATAGTAGAAGAAACTAAAGATGTTGATAATGATGAAGAAAAAGATGATGGTGATGATAATGCCAGTGACAATGATATGCAAGCTAATGACTGTGCATTAGAAACAGATAAGTTGAACAGAGAAAACTTGGCTTCTGCAGAGACCAGCAGTGAAGGTAACACTGATCAGAAGCTTGTGTCAGAATATGAGGAATTTATGAAAGCTGTGAGCTTTGAAACCATTCCCATTGATGAACAAGATGGTTCTGGTAATGAACCATGTGAGCATCAGGAGTCTGCAGAATCAGAGAAGGAACCTTCAGAGGGGGATGTATTTGAGAGACGACAGATGGAACTGAATGTAAATGATACATGGGATGAAGATAGCAAAGAAAGAATGGAAGATACAGAAGAGAGGGTAAATACTGATTTTATGTTCCTGGAGAAAGTGATTAAAGAAGGAAGGGAAAGTAATGTTAAAAGGAAGAAGACAAAACAGGACTTCGAACAACAATCCAGTTCCTCTTCTAGTGAAGAAGACGAAGAAGAAGAAGAAGAGGAGGAGGAGGAGGAGGAGGAAGAGGAAGAAGAGAAAAATTTGAAACCAAGGAAACGTGAAAAGAAACGAAAAAGTAAAGACGTTGAGAAAAGAAAGAGTCGTAGGAAGTCGTACAGTAGTGATGACACCTCCAGTAGTGATGACTCCAGTTCCACAAGTTCAGAAGATGACCATGAAAAAAGAAAACATATTACCAAAAGAGAAAAAGGTAGGAGGAAGTTGGAAGAAATGAGTGATAATGAATTTAAAGAAATGTCTGGAAAAACAAAATCCAAATATAAAAAAGCATCAAAGAAAAAGAAGAAATATTTTCGTAGAAAGAAGCATCAACATAAACGAAACAAGAGACGGAAAATTGAGACAAGCTCCTCATCAGATGACAGTTCAGATTCAGGTGATGAATCTTCTTCAAGCAGGTCTGAGAGAGGACGTAAACGCCACAAAAATAAGGAAAGTAGGGGACGTAGAAAGGATGATAGGGACAGTAGCTCTGAGGACAGTAGTAGCTCCAGTTCTTCAGATTCATCTTCATCATCATCCTCTCATGGGAAGAGCTCAAAGAAGAAGAGGAGGAGGAAAAACTCAAAGAAAGCAAAGAAAGAGGCTCACAAGAAAAGAAAAGAAAGAAATCGTGCTAATAGTGAAATGGAGAACAGCAATAAAAGCAAAAGTCGTAAAGGGGAAAGAAATCGCAGATTATCTGGTAGCAGACATTTGAATAATGGAGAAGACTCAATCATGTTGGAGGAACTGGGGGCTCAGATTGTGAAAGTTAGAAATCAGGATGGCATTGATCTGTCTGCAAGACATTTTGAAAATGCTACTAGTTCAGATAATGAGCAAAATGAAAATAATAAGCAAATGCCATTAAAGGATGACAGAAGGGCATTAACATTAGAGTCTAGTGATAGTAATACTAGCAGGGATCAAAAAGTACAGTGTCAGATTGAAAATGAAGAGAACAGGAAAGAAGTTGGAAACAACAGCATGTTTGCTGATAATGATATGAATTCTTCTGGTGAGAGTTGCTGGGAAGAGAGTCATAGGTCAGAGGAAAAACAAGTTGAAATTTCAGAAGATAGTCATGAAAGAGTAAGCAACAATGTCAGTTTAGAAGTAGAAGGCAAGGGGAGAAGAAAAGTAGAAAAGAGAAAATTTTTGAAGAAAAGACGTCGCGATCGACGTTCCCATTCTGTATCTCCTTTGAATAATTTTGGTCGAAAGCGTCGACGATCTCCATCAACATCTCCTGAACATTCACCAATTCCACAACGTCGTAGCTCTACTGAGGGAAAGGATAAGGGTCAGAGAGACAATGCTGCATCTAAAAGTCAAACGCATAGTGGATATAATTTAAAGCATGGAGATGGAGGTGGTCGGAAGAGGGGACACAATCAAGGTGACAGGGATTTGGCCCCACAAGATTTTGTAGACTATCAAGGAGTCGAGGAACATTCCTTTACTGAAGAAGGAGACCAGTCAGGGTTTGAAAGTTATACAGTTGATATATTTGAAGGGTTCAGGCAGACAGAGATGAGAGTGGATGATAACAGAAACAAATACACAACTTGCCATGATTACAGTTCCAGTGGTGAAGATGACACGAGCAGGAACAAACGTACGGATGATTTAATGAGTCAGGATGAAATTAAAGTCCTTAGGAGACATAGTTTGAGACAAAGTGATGGTGCAGTAGTGGACAGAGGTTTCAAAAGGCAAAGAGATAATCTTGAAAAAGACAGCTGTTCACCCTTACTGGGAAAAATTAAACAGATTGTTAGTGAGGACAAGGAGTTAATAGGCAAGAACAGAGATGATCTGTTGACAAAATGTGTTAAAGACTTTTCACAGGCTAGTCATGACAGCTCTGACAATTCTAACATTTGGAATACCAAGGCAGGTGAAGATGGTAGTGATCAATTCAGTCTCTCTAGATCCAGTATAAAGAAAGAAATACAGAATATTTGTCACAGAGGTCCAGATTTTGAGGAGACAGATAGTATGTACAGTCCAGTTGATACTTTTGAAAGTAGGCTAGTTTCTGAGTCTGTAAAAAAGAACAATTCTGACTATGTAGATTCATCAAGTCAAGAATCAAAAATGGATGACAGTTACCCATGTGATATGTCATTGGACAGCCTGAGTAGTCCACCTTGTGTAGAAGAGTCTGCAGCTGTGATACATAACCAAGATCCATGTGGTACCTCAAGAAATCTTCAACTCATTGATCAGTGTAGTGGCTACAGTTCACCAAGTCAGGGTTTCCTCTCAAAGAATGTTATTCCTCAGCTTGACTCATTCATGTCACTGGAAAACATTCCATTGCCACCACCAGCATCTCATAGTGAAGTGAATGTCTTTAATAAGCATATTGAAAAATCATATGAAATTCACCCTCCTTTACCACCAACAACACCCTTAGTAGGAAGCAGCAATAGCAGTTTCAGTGAAGATGTTGGTGCCCAAGTCACTACTTCTGATAATGATTCAAAAACATCTGCATCCCAGCTGTTAGAATCTTCAGTTGGTGTGCGCAAACCTTTAGGTAAACTCCCAATGCAGAAACATGTAATCACAGTGAAGCTTCTTTCTCCTCTTGCTCGACTTCAAAGTTCACCTGGAAATAAACCTTTTCATTTTGAGACCTCAGATGTACAAGCTAAAACTATAGGTTCTGATGAAATAGTAGAGTCTTCTCCATTATCTGTTAAAGTGGAGAACAAACCTAAAAAGGAAAAAGAGGGCAACCTTGGTGTCAAACCAGTATGTCCTGATGAAGGCACTGCATCAGGTGAAGTGAGTAAGAGTAGTGAAACAGATTTGAAAGTACAAATCAAACACCCATGGAAATCTTTTGGCTTATCTTTGAAAGGTGATGGCAGTAATTTAACATTATATGATGATATTTTGGAAACAAATGTCTCTGAAGAGCAAGTGTCATCCACAAGTGTAAAATCAGTTTCAGATGTTAATAAACAGGAGAAAATTCATTCTAATGAAGCTGTCGCCAAGGAACGTACGCGTAAAAGACCATCTCGTTGGGGAATGATGACAGCTCCTGTGAAACATGGCATGGAGAGCATGCATCAAGTCGATGTTATCAGCTCTCAGCAGAAATGTGATACAAACCAGAGTTGTTCTGTGGCATATCCAGATGGCAGTAGTTCAGAAGGAAACAAAGATTCATATGAGTATAAGCAGCATGGTGATATTCCAGCAGAACTTGAATCAGAAGATAGGTCTAGTAGAAAGAAATTGTCAGGTGAATTTGGTATGGATTTAGCCTCCAGTCACTCGGAAAGTGTAAGAAGAGACATTAGAGACTCTGAAGATAGCAGAGTTTTCAGTGGCAAACATTCCAGGTTTGATGATAAAAGAGATGGATGGGATAAAAGAATGGAGGAGAGAGACAATAAGAACAAAGCCAAAGATAAATCTGAAGACAGAGATGTAAGTAGAAGGGTCAGAGGTGAAGATAGGGAAACCGATAAGAAACAAAAGGAAAAAAGAGACAGAGATAAACAATGGGAAGAAAGACCAAGTGAGAGAGAAAAGAGAGGTAGTAAGAGGGGAGAGAATGTAAATAACATGGACACTGAAGAAGACTGTGAACGTAAAGAAGAATATAGAGACAGTGATCTGAGTAATGCAGAAACACATGATGGAAACAGAGTCTCTGATTTACACCAGGCTGAATGGCAGGATGGTGGTGAGACCTCTCATGACAAGAGAGAAATTACTACGTCAGGTTCAGGATGGGGAGATACTGAGGACTACTCTGGCCCAAAGCTGAACTCTGCTGTAGATCCTCCTTGGGAAAGCAGAGTTGTACGCTACCGGTCACGGTCAAGATCACTTTCACCTGAATTCACAGGTTGGGAAGATGCATCTGCCAAGAGGATAAGAGAAGATGATCAGGGGAGAAATAGGCTTGATGGCCAAAGGAACAGCAGCAGGGAAAGGTATGTGGGTCAGCCAAAAGGCAGTCTTGAGAGAGTTGGCAGTGCAGATGGTGATCGAGTCAGAGAGAGCAGTGCTGATCTGGACAGCAGGATCAGAAACAGTAGTAGAGATCGTGAAAGAATGAGAGAAAGTAGTAGAGATAGGATGGGAGGAAGTAATAAAGACAGAGTGAGGGAAAGTAGCAGAGACAGAGATAGAATGAGAGACAGTTGTCGAGATCAGGATAGAATGAGGGATCATGACAGATTGAGAGAAAGTAGCAGGGACCAGGAAAGGATAAGAGTAAGTAACCGGGATAGGGACAGACTGCAGGATAGTGGCAGGGACCGAGATAGGTTGCGGGAGAATAGTAGAGATCAAGAGAGGCCGAGGGGCAGTGGTAGAGATGTGGATAGAACTAGGGGTAGTAGCAGAGACCAAGATAGAATGAGGGATAATAGTAGGGACCGTGAGAGGGTTAGGGAGAGGCAAGAAGATAGAGAGAGGAGAGATGAAAGATGTATACGAGATCGGTGGAATGATGACTTGGACAGAGGCAGAGATCGAGAGAGAGACAGAAGAGTAGATAGACACTGGGAGAAGGAGAGGCATGAGAGGAAAAAGGATGATAGAAGCAGAGAATGTGATAGAGATAGAGGACGCTGGGCTGAAAGAAGAAGTCACAGCCCAGTTGTTGAAGACCGCAGAGAGCATGAAAGTAGTGGATCAGGATACTACATCTCAGATATTCCATTACCCATAGCCAGTACTGCTGAGTCATGGGATCCAAGTACTGGAGTTGGTTCAGGGGAAGCAGACATGGAACTTAGTTGTTCACCAGCATCATCCCCATTAGTTGGATTTAAGCGTAGCCTTGCTGATTCAACCATAAGTGATTCTGAGTTAGTTGCTGCTGCAGGGAAGCAGGAAGAGCATCATCCTTCATCTCCATTTCAACAGTGTGGTGGGTATTATAATACTGGCTCTTACCCTCCAACTCGAGAAGTATGTAATGTGTCACCAACTGACTCCCCATCATTTTCACCCAAGAGAATATCCCTAGATGATCGAATTGAATTAGAACTTGGGGTAAAGAAAAGCTCACCACCATTGCCACCTGCACCACAGCAGATTCCAGTGTATCACCAACATCAATCCTACACTGCGCCGTATACTGGTTATCAAGATGGTAGCTATTACACTGTTCCACTTCCTCAGCCACATTATGAAGGTAATCCTACTGCCATGTCTGGCAGTGAGAAGGTGATGCCTACACATCCACATTATATGCATTCTTGTGAAGAATTTTCTGGTCCACCTCAACATGAAGCTTTGCACCATCAAAAACAGTTCATAGGAGGACCACCTTCAGTGCAGCCAGAAGAAAAGTATGGTCCATCCGCTCCTAAGAAACGCAGGCCACCACTTCTACCCACACCTAGCAATATAGCTCCTGATATGAGCCATTGGGATTCCCCTGAAGCTTTCATTGGTACACAGGAGATCCATAAGATGGTGTTGACACCTGAACTTGGACGATCTGTAGTTGTGGCCTCAGAATCATTCATGGGCTCACAACAGATGGGTGGCAGCTCTCATGTTGTACAGGTGAGAGCAGTCAAAGAAGAAATAGTGTGTTTTTAGTGAACTGTGTAACTTTGTGAAGCAGAGTCCTCTTTGAAAAGCTAATTGTCACTTATTCCAGAAATTTACTGCTTTGTATTATTAACCAAAGGTTTGTCACTGTGTTTGCAAGAGCCTGCTGCCAAGTCACATGAATTCAGTTTGCTTCCTTACATTCTAGTTCCTTAGCATACATCTTCATATTATTCTCCCATCAATGCCTAGGTCTCCCTGTGGGCTCGCTTTCAGGTTTTCCAAGCAAAATTGTGTATGAATTTCTGATCATTCCTATGTGTGCTGCACATCCCACCCAACACATCCTCTCTGTTTCAATCACTGTAATAATATTTTAGGCATTTTTTTATAGCTAGAATTTTGAAACATTATTTCCCACATTTGAAGTTTTGGTTTTAGAATTGTAGTTTATCTTTCTCAGTTTAGTCCTTCTACCATTTAATATTTTCACTATTATTGTGAAAGATGTTTTAGGTAAAGATTTTACTGAATACCCATGCATTTTTCTAATTCTGTCTCCATTCAAAGGGTAATTTATTATGGAGAAATATATGCAAGAATTTTATAGCTATGAAGTCTTGATGTCAGACGATGATGGCGGTAGAGACAGTCTGTAAAAACAATGTAAACTAATTGCATCCTCACACAGCTGATCCCTCTAGAAGAATTCTTTACATTCAGTTGAATTTGCAGGTTTCAGTTTTGTTTTTGTGTTTCCACCTTTATAGAGAGGTGAGTGGAATTTAACAAATGAATAATCATCACATTACATAATCTGTTTTAGTGCCAAGTTTCCATTAGTATAGATTTACAGTTGTTACTAGCAGTCTTCAAATTCATATCATTGTTTATCATTTTTAGTACAATATCCCGTACAAAATGTTTAGGTTTATTTATAGTCTACTGCCATACCAAAATTTACCCCATGTACAGTTATCATCATCAGATGGGAAAACATACATCTGGCATGGTTTCACTGATATTCTATACAAAAATTAATCAAACAGAAGTTTCATGCTTTTCAAGGATCAATCACCATGTAAATTTATTTCAGATGCTGGTAGTTTTTACTGCAAGAAATTGGGGATACTGTCCTTTTTACATTGTATACAGTACCAGAAAATTTCCCATCGGGATTGATGGGAAAATCTATAGCAGTACTTCAGAAAATACATATCTATTGAAAAGTGCAACAAAACAGCATATAAAAATTAATATCATTACTTATCTTTGCATAATTATGAAAGCTGTGAAATGTTACACATAAACACGTGTTTTGCTGCATATAAAAATTGAATTTAAATAATGTGTTATGACAAAAAATAACCACTATGCTTTATTAAAGAATATAATATGATTTAATGTATTGCAGTCTCAAATATGAACTTATGTTCAGGTTATAAGAACTGCTGTGAATTGTGAATCACTTCTACTACCATTTTATAAAGGAAATGTAACTACACCACACCTCACTATGAGAAAACAAACAGGAAATTTTAATTCATATCTTTGCCACATAGAAGTAAAAACCTGCAAGACATTCTGTTTTCTTAATGCTGGCTATGGATAGTAAGTGTTTATCTCAGACAGTCATCAACATAATCTCCTCGTAATGAATTAGGGACTGTTTGACACTTTCAGAAATTTATTTAAATTTTTAGTTCATTAAGATGGATGTCATCTGCGTTGTAGTGTTGTGTAGTCTGGTAGAAGTTTCCAACATTTGAGAGGTGCATCTGCCTCTATCGTCGGGGTGATGATCATTGCTCTGATTTAGAATTATGTTTTCTGTGTATTTGTTTTTCCAGGGTTTTTTTCTTCTTTTCTTTTAACTTGTACTTGGTTTGTAATTGGTCCTTGGGCTGTTAAGTCAGCACATAAATAAATAAAGAATTGAATTAATTATTATTGTTATTATTGTAGTGGTGATACTGGCAGTAAAAGCAACAGAAATAATTCTAGTAGGATAATCTGTTTATATATATTTGTTACATTATATCACGGTTAATGTTGCAAAGAAATCAGGATTTTGTAACCAAAAATACCACTGCTAACCTACACTTAAGATCAGCATCATATTTCGATATGATTGTGGCCTGTGGCATACAGATTCTTATTGAATGAGAGTATGTGTTCTCATTCATGTCCTCATATTTATTACTTCCTTCATGTCTCCTCCCATCCACCTCTCCAGTTTTTCAGGCAAGTTTTGTATCTTGTATCAAGATAGGTACACTAAATCATTTGGGATTGAAATGAGAATATTTTAAGCATTTCTTCCAATATTTTAAGTTTTAGAATATAAAGAACTTAAGAACAATTTTCCATTACTCAGTGTGAGCTATGAAATTCAGAAATATATTTATATTTCTACGTAAATTGCTGTTTCACATTCCTTACAGGTGGGTAATGTGCTCCAGGTTGTTCCTACTGATCTGCCTCCTGGCAGAGTGCTTGGGGCTGTGCCGCCACCACCACCCCCAGCTCAACAGCCAAAGGCTCATAAATCACTGGTCCTTCAGGCTGGCAATATGCTTCAGGTATGTAAGTTGTCAAAATTCCTTTTTCCTCAACACCATTTGAGTAAGAAGTTGGAACAACATAAATGATGTTGTCATATCCTCAGCATTTACGTGCTCAGTAATGCAGTGTCATTTATACATGTGTATATAGTCTTACATGTATGAATATAATTGTAGCTATGTTTTTCCATGGAGTAATTCTGTGCAAATATTATGTTCATTTTCAAAATAGAAAGACAAGTTGCCAAATAATTTTCTACTGTCCTTACAGAATGACGTGCTGTAAACTAGTCTTGCAGAACTTCTGCTCCTTATAATCTGTTTGGTGGTGTATTGTTCAAGGTTATCCATCATAACATTTACAGATCTGTGTGACACACAGAATAAGCTTAAAATAAATTAAACTGTGGTGACACATTTCTGTGTTGAACTTGTTACAGGTAATTCCAAGTGAGAACCTCGCTGTGCCAAATTCTAGTGGTAGCAGCAGGGGCACACAGGTGTTTCAAGTGGGGAACATGTTACAGGTCATACCTGGAGCTAGCCCATCGCACACACCTCCTCAACAAGTTGTTATGAAGCAAGCCAAGATAACTGCACCTCATTCTGCAGTGCCTCAGCCTGGCATTCAAGCCCTTGGGACAGCAGAATTGTCAGTGGTGCACAGTCCCATTACTTCATCTCCTGTTGCCAAGGTAGTTCCTGACATATTGGTGTAGGTTTATAACAGCGATGATACTCATTTTGATTTTAATGTTTTAAACAGATTTTAACCTTTATCAACTGTACATTGTGGTTTATGTGCAGTCCAGCTGTCCATGCATTGCACAAGCATACCACTAAACCATTAAGCCCTAAGTTGAAGTCCAGCTTACAGGTCTGTAGTTCAGGAGTTTAAATTCCTTGCCCTCATATGATAAAGGTTAAATGTCCTTAGCAGTTACATGCATCTTAATGCATGCTTTGGCTGCCCAGTTAATGACTACTGGCATTGCTTGCCTATTTACATACATCATGAGCTTTAACCCACCGTTTAATGTAAGTGACATTGACATTTTATATGTCTTTTACAGTAGGAACATTAAAACACTCAGAAATATAATAAATATCTATACTGGCTGCAAATATTTGCTTCAGTTATACCACTTTATTATTTTTTCCTTCTTAATTTTGAGTGTAGTGGAGAGTAAGGAAAAGGCACAGTGCTGTTCATATGGGAGAAATCTGAACATTCAGCACTAAAGGTCACGTGAGTAGTGGTGGCACCTAAATGCGTGATGTGCAAGTCAAGAGAGGGGAGTTCAGTAGTAGTGGGGGTCACATAGCCCCAGCTGCAGTGATGCACCGATCTAAAAACAGCTGGAACTACAAACCAACTGAAGCTGACACCCCTCTAGTGCGTGCTTCGGACGGGTCCATCTCATACGACCAAAATCAGCCTTTGTGCAAGTGCCAGCACTCCTCGCTCGTTCTCTACATTTGACCCTCCTTTAACACATGTTTGATGATGTACTTTTATTACAGAAAATGTTGAAAAAATTTCATAACTTTGTTGCTTTTATTTTTACAAGGTCTTGCATTTCTATTCTGTCCTGTGCCAAATAAATTTACTCCATTTCCTCACAATCAATTTCCCAAAGATTCATTTTAATATTTTCCTACCAAAAAAAGACCAGTGAATCTTTGCCACTGCTAATCATTGAATCAGAATTACCATTCCTTCTTTGAGTTGAAAACTTGACACAACCTTGACAACCTATCTCTTTTTGAGATAATGTTATAGAAGTCTTTACTAACAGTTCCATTCTTACCAAATCAAGAAGAACTTGCATAAAATACTGTACCTTCTTATAAATGTGAATAGAGAAAACTGTGTTTTATTATGATAGACTGGAAAGGTTTTCTTTAATTTGTTTAGTCTCATACTCTCCTTAAGAAGGCTTACAGTTATAAAGTAGAAGCTTTGTATTTTCTTTTATGTTTTTCTTTTGTCCTGTTCTTTTTCATCATTAATTATCATGGTTATCATATTCACCGCTTTCCAGTTGTTGTCACTATTTGATTTGTTAAAAATTAAAGGGCATTATCTTTTTCCTCTTCATGTATTTGATCATAACAGTGCTTATATTGTTAACTTAATTTTTTGTAAGGTTTCACCGAATCAAAGACACACATTGCCTGTAGTATCAGGCACTCCATTGCCAGTGCCTGCTACACCAACTATGATAGTGGCCACCACCTCAGGGATATTTCCTACAGAGGCTGCACCTGCTTCTGGATATTCTCCCCCTGCCTCTCCATTCATTATCAGTGAGCCACAACTACCACTGCTACCTACAGAAGTGATGCCTGTACTAGCAGGTATGTGCATCACAATCACAGACATGTTATTACACATACAATGGATGTTTGTGGCTGTTCAAACAGAGATTAAGCTGAATGGCAAAAGTTATCAAAAGGGTAGTTAATAGTATTATATTGAAACACAGGCTCTAGATTCAAATCCAGTGACTGCTTCCAGTTGTGATATATGTTACATGAATTGGTTTAAATAAGTGAAGTAAATATGCCCTCAGTACAGGTAAACCTCAATTTACGCCAGGGATGCGTTCCTGGATGAACCGGCATAAATTGAAACTCTTTTTATAATGTAAATCAATGGGAAGTCAATGACACGTATTCCCGGCACCCAAACCTTGACGACTAAAGTTCCTCAAAAATTGACTTTGCGTTATCCGTGATAGCAATTTCAGTCAAGGGAATGTTTTTTTGAATCATGTCATCCACCTATAGCAACATTCTTTCTAAAAGTTTACTTTTGCTATAACTCACTTGCGTTGCACTTACTCTTGTAGCCTGTTGCATTGACTGTTATTTTATATGAATTTTTCATTGTGGTAGTCGCAGTGGAAGGAGGCAACTTCGTACTTCACGCATTACGACGGGTATCACCACCTTGTATTTTACGAATTACGTCTATCTTATTTTCTAAGACAATAGACCTACGCAACTTTTTAGCAACACATTCACTTCTCTTACCAGACATGGTGGCTCTTCTACAATTTATAAATATAAAACAGTTGCTGCTGCCGAATAGTGGTCAAACAACAACACAAACACGTTTAGCACACAGTTTCAGCACATTCATTGTGTCAACAAGAAGCGAACTGGCTGCCGAATAGTGGTCAAACAACAACACAAACACGTTTAGCACACAGTTTCAGCACATTCATTGTGTCAACAAGAAGCGAACTGAGATCATTTTTCCTTAGTCCCTTATCAGGCTGAACGCAAATGACTCACCGTGAAGAGTGACCAATGCTCACATGACTGTTGCACAATGTTGGCGGATTTTTAGGAGATTATCTTGCAACTTCTTAGCAATGAGTGCAGAGGTGACTGTATTTATAATTTTTATTCAAAATCAGCGATGTAAGAATTACAATTTAGTATAAGAATCAGTACGAGAAACATTGTAAATCATTATAAATAATAGTAAAATATATTTTTTTCACTTTTTGACTTGCTGGTTTCAAAGGCAGCATTATTCTGAACCCACGCAGATCAAGGTTTACCTATACATGCTGCGAAGGCACTACTTGTTCTTGACCTTGGCACTAGATGGGATGAATGATCAGCATCACACTCTGGCCACCCCTAGGTAAGCAGTCCCAGCTCCCATTGGATTGAATGCTGGGTAGGCCTCAGAGCTGGTCTGGATGCAGTTGAACCTGGTCATCCAGCCGTTAGTGACTCAATATGCTAATTGAGGTACCCTAGCTCCCATTTAGAAAAGTACTTGCTGTAATGTCATTAGTACTGACTATTTGAGGGTAGGAAAGTTAAAATCTTGCTGAGTACAATGAATTTAAAAAACCGTGTTTGTCAGCCGAGTTTATAAAGGAAAAATTATTGTTAATTCTTTACATGTAGCACTGTATCGAAGAGGCAGTATCTGTTCCAATCTGAATAAATGTAGATAAAATTGTATATTGAGAAGTGTTATTAAGGTGTCACTTTTGGCCCACTTTTGCCAACCAGGACCACCACTTGACTGAATAATGTAACCCAACTTACTTAATGTTGTTTATAATGAGATTTAATCAGTTTGGTCATATAAAAGTTCAGAGATGAAACACTTTGTTTTCTTTAACATGTTCTTCAGTTGCTTAGTCTGAATTTGAAAACAGAACTCATTAGTGTTTAGGGCCATGGAAAGTCAAATGCTAATGAGGCAGTAATTTACATTTGCTGTAGGTCATAGTGCCATTGCAGATATTTACATCCAGAATAACGTACAATTTGAAATACAGTTTACTAGTTTATGTATTCTTATATTGTTGAATTATATTTTTAATGTTTACTGTGGCAGTGTTTTTCAGGTATAACCAAATTTTTAATTTCTGCATTGAATATTATAACATTTACTTTGAAAGGATCATGTTGATCCATCATGTTTATGTTTATTGTGTTATAATAATCAAACTTTTCTGAGAACCAGGAAGTGAAGACTGTTCTACCAGTAAAAGTAATTCAAGGCAGTGACTCTGGTTGAATCTGCATGCTAGTTGTAAACGTTTTCTATTTTGTCTGAAGCAGTGTCAAGAAACTCATGTTTTTATGATGAGTCTTGTTTCCATATCTGTTTTAGTTTTCACAATGAAGCCTTAAACGTAAGTTTGTAAATTGTGTGTTAATGAATTGTAATCATGAAAATACATTGCCAAAAAATTGCTGTGCTTTCCAGAGGTTCCCATCCCATTTTTGTCTCCATCTGACTCTCCTAGAGAGGAAGCAGAGAGACGGTGTGTAGAACGTGAAAGACGGCGTCAAGAGAAAGAGAAGCGTCGGCATGAGAAGGAGAAGAGGCGACAGATCAAACTGAAGCATGCTGCTGATAACTTGATTAAGGTACTTGAAAGCAAAGACATGTAGCATAAACAAAACTAACTCTGTGGGTATAAGTTACCCTTCAGAAGCTAATAGTATACTTAGTCAAGAAATTCCCCAACATTTTTGTAACCATTCTGTATATTTTTCTTGTTATTCTACCCATTATGCCACTGTTGAATATTGGGTGGTATAACAGCCAGCTTACTTAGTCTGGTTTGCAGTCCTTGTAGTGTTACTGCATAATGGTTTTTCATAAGATAACTCCATAGTTATAGCTGGTATATTGCTTTACAGAAAGCTCTTCAACAAGAGGGAGATCAGACAGACATTGACTTGGAAGAAATGAGACTAATTGAGGTAAGTGAGTTGCAGAAGTAACAAAGCTTAACTGAATTTGTGTCAAAAGGCCAAGAACATTGTATAATTTTCTCTTCTGCTGGAAACATTGAAGATATTTATTTCATTAAATTTATTTAAAATATGTGCCAAGGAACTCTTTTGTGTGTATGTGTAAATTTTACATTTGTGATAATTAAGTGCTTGGTGAACACTTCACTTTCATTTGTTTTAATCAGTCTGTACAGATGTGACAGTCATTTGAGACATTTCTGCAAAACCCATGTACATTGACAGCTGTTTGCTAAAACTGAATGTATGCATACACACTCGAAGGATTTTAATGTCTTATATTATCTGAAAACTCATATCCCATTATGTTTCTTATTTTTAGGAAGCAATGCGTCAAGTTCCTGACTGTGAGGATGAACCAGGGCCAGAGGTATCTCCAGTGACTCCTCCAAAGAAGAAACGACGACCCACAGTGCAAGTGAAGCCACTGCCTCCTGCTGGAAAGGGCATTCTTATATCTCCTGGGTTCAGGTATGTAAAAGTTCAGGTGTGGATGTATCAGATGAGAAAACAGAACTGAGACCCCATTTTTTTAAAAAAAAACTTGTCTTCTGCGTATGACATTTTTTTAAATAAACAGAACCTGTTTCATTACTTGTGCCAATTTATACATTTTTTAACCAGTATACATTACAATTTATATAAATGCATGTGATGTAACTAGGTATATAATATCTGAAATATTAGACTAATCTGCAGTGTTATAAGATCCAGATACTTTATTTTGATCACAAAATCATCTTGAACTTTCTAAATTATATTATGTTATTTAAATATCATAAGAGAATTAATGCTTTTGAAATTATCAGTGGATCTTCATGTGTTTATCAGAACTGGAACAGGTGAGCTCAGTATGCTGGAAATTTGTTTAAAATTCCAGCTGATAACCATTATCACAGAGAATAGTCCACAAAAATTATGTATTATTTCTCTTAATAGAGAGAAACCAATATCTGGAGAGAATGAAGGAAGGAAGTCGGTCAAATTTGCCGATGGTGTGCGGCCTGGAGAAGGCACATCACCATCAGCAGGGGAAGACCTGCCATCACCTCCACCACCACCCCGGAAACTTCCGAAGGAAAAGAGATTTAAAAAGAAGAAGAAGAAGAAAATTAAGGTAATGGTATGTTTTAAAATTTTTACTTATTTTTCATACCATTTAGACTTTTGAAGGCCATATATAACAACTATTTCACATGGGAGTGAAAGACCAGTTGTTAAGTTTTCAAGATGGCTGTTGCTTGTATTTCCCTCTCCAAGACGAATGTTTAGTGACAAGGAAACATGCCACATCTTGGTTATCTTTCAGTGGAGTCATTGTCATCTTAACAAATATCTTCATGGACGTATCACATCTACCACTACAAGCACTTGCGATACCGCGGAGTATGACTAATGTTGTATGTTAGAAATTCTTGCTCAGTGGTGAATGTCAACAAATTGTAGGATCACAGACATTGCACTTCCATGTCATCAACTGACATTGTGCTTCTTTTTGATGAGTATACTTTTTCTCTCGCGATGGAGCCTGTAAGGAATTACATTTTTTCATATATATTATTTCGTTTGAATAATTTGATATATTGTAATTGTTTATAGCATTATTTGTTTAATTTTTGAGGCTCTTTGAGCATAAACTCAATTTGTCCTTCCATGAGGAAGAATGTTGCTTGTGAAGGTTGATTAACTCAAAACTCTTTATTCATATTTATCTTCTGTCATTTATTACTAATCCACAGGCAAATTTTAAGAAAATGTTGGTGGTAAAGTAAAAGAATTGCATAGTAGTCAGAAGACTGTTTAGCATCTGAAAGAACTAGTGCAGCTGGCTCATGTGAATGAACAAGACCTTTCTGTGTGCCTGTGGAACACGGCAGACAGAGTTCACCACACACGCTTACAAAACACGTGAACAACGTGCTTTGCAGCGTCATTGCAAAGGGACTTTCCATTCTCATGTGGAAGTGTCTCTGTGTATGGCCTACTCTTTTGAGATTTAGATGCTGCAAATTAGTAAAATATTGTTACCATATTAAATCTTTTACGGTTTAATTTAGGGCAGGAATTCTTAACCTGCACTCTACTGATGATGCTTATATGATGACACATTTTTTGTAACATTGTGTTACTCTGACAAAAATTAGCTGATGAGAAAACGTGTCATAAGTATCAGTATTTAGTGTAACTGTCATTGTGAGCAGTTGAGGTTAATGAAGAATTAGGACACATCACTGATGAACACTTGGAAGGATGCAGAAATTAAAACTGATATTGGAAGATTACTCTAGCAAAATCATTGTTATATATTTTACTAATGACTGATTTTGTTAAAAAAAATTGAGTAATGTGAACCTGTCTGTAATAGTATGCTAGTATCATTATTAATCATTTGTCAAGAAAGTTCTATACATTGTACATATTTACAACTTTATGTCCCATGAGTCGGTAAGCAAGGACGAATATGGCCCTCTGCCTGGAAAAGGTTTAGAGGTTGAGAACCCCTGATTTTGTCTGTTTTTCAGTGACATTATAACAGTATCATTATCATTTACATAAATCATACTTTGAGTTTACAGTTCATAAGCACAGTAATGTTAAGGTAAACACAGCCTTCCTTTGAGATTAATATTTTCAGTTGAAAGATAGGGGTGTCACTTGTAAACGGTACACAGTACATGTCCAGAGAATTCCATTTTTCAATACATTTACTTGGTAGCTGTCCCATTAGTTCATTATGATCAATGCTACATATGTGAAGTTGTTGAAATTTGGATATATGATGCAGAACATGTAAATGGGAATGTGATTAACAAGCTCCATGTAGGTTTCTTTCTTGAGAAACTGTAATATGTTCTTGTAATTTTTTTTAATGATAGGCCGTGACTGGGAAAGTCAAAGTTTGGTTTCAGCTTAAGGTAAAATTTGATATATATTTTACCAGTAACTTTCAGAATTAAATTTTCTTGGCAACTTTTAGTGCAGTTCAAACTACTATTGAAATCTATTATGTTGTTTCTGAGATAAAACATGGACTTATTATTCATCAAGTTTCTCTGGAAAATCAGTAATAGTGAGATTTTTAAACAGCTTTTGCTAGAGTAATCTTTCAATATCAGATTTAATTTCTGTTCTTGTGATTTGCATCTCTCCCTTCAGGTGTTCATCAGTAAGATGCGTCTGAGTTCTTGAGTTGCTGTTCTTCATTAAGCTGTACACTGACCAACAGCATAGGTACTGCCAAATACTGATGAGTACACAGGACACATATGGGCTGTGGGTTGAGTAACCCTGATTTATATTATAATTAAATATTTTAGCTTTATTAGAGTTTGTTATATCACTGGACAGTTGTGTAGTCATGTGTTATCAGTATGTTTTAATTGCTGCAGGTGAAGATTATTCGACAGATAAATGTTGAGGATGATGATGACGACGATGATATTTCCCCTCCCCCGCCCCCACCAGGCTCTCCGCCTCCTCCGCCGTTGTATCCCCCAACATACCCTGCTGGGTATCCTCCATCAGGCTATGTGTACACACAGCCTACATCTTACACAGGTGTGTATGTATGTATGTATGTGTGAGCCTTAAAATGTTATTTTTCAAGTATTGCTTCTGTCCATGCTTTTTTGCTTTATCTTTACCATCATTTCTGACTTCATGCAAAGTGAGAAAACTTGTCAGCAGAGTTTGGTTGCCTTTGGCAAGATGTGTAATGGTAAAATATGTGTTATTAGTGGTAGTTTCTGTGTAGTGATTAACCTGTTTTTCATTTTTGCAGTGTTACCTGGAACTGATGGGGGAGCCCCAGCTCCTGCAGGGTCTGCTACTGTATTCACTTCAATGTACCATCAGCATCACCACAGTACTACTACCACCACTACCACTGTTCAGTTTGCACCACCTCCACCCCCTCCAAGCCCGCATGTGTATCCTTCAACTGGAAAGCAGCGTAAAACAAAGTGACTGAGACATGTTAAGCTTTGTGCCCTGTTTCTGCTCTCTCTTCTTTCCAGCAAACACACAAGTAGATGACCAAGTAAATACCTTTAAATCACAACAGTGTTGACAAGCTCTGTTCTGTTGAGATTCTCCTGTTTATCATGCAGAATAATTGATAATCACACCTTTCCTTACTTTTGGCTTAAGATATTTGTCTGATTACAAACACCATATTGGACAAGACATTGGCTTGTATTCTAGAGTTACTAAGTTTGTAATGTGCTTTATCTGGGAACATCTCCAAGCATTCCCCTAGGGATTACCAGTTATGACTTTCAATATAAGAATAGGATCTTTAATTTTCAACGAGGATATAAATATGGAAATTATTGTAAATTGCTACTGTAATTAAGTGAATCATACTTTATTGTCTCGGGATTGGTTGATATTGTTTCGTGCAATACTTGTTCCATTTTGGATGTAAGTAAATCATGAATTGGTTTCTGAAAGAGTCCATAATTAAGAATCAGAGATTCACATTTTTAAATTCAGATATTGTAGAACTTGAGTTTTTGTCCCTTGACTTGTGATTTATGGGAATTCATTTCCTACAAACCAAGTTTCTCTATATCCCCCCCCCCCTTTTCCACAAGTCTAATGCAATATACAGAATTTGGCAGAGATAGCAGATCACCAGAAATGTCATCCTAACATGTCATCTTTATATCCTAATAAAATATTTTCTGTTTGATATGTTTGAATATGAATTATTTAAAAGCAATTTTAAATGAAAATGGTATAGATTTGTAATATATATCAGTCATTACTAATACAATGAAATAAATGCATTACTGAGCACACATGTTTTTGAAGAGGTCAATACAATAGGCTTTGATGTTAAAGTTATTTAATTTGTATGGTTTAGTCACATTATATGGTTAAATGGATTATGACTGTGTTGTTTCTTGGTTTATATAAGTATGTTGAATACAGTGCAGGCAACACTTTGTCCAAGAAAATTTTGTTTTATGTGTGTATATACTATTAGCTGGTTAATTATCAGACTGTGGCAGTGCTATGAGGGTTACAGTCAGCTGTTCACAGAACCTCTATGCCTTTATCCTATAGTGTGTACTGCACTGTTTATTGGATTTATAGGTACATATTGTAAAGTGAGCAAGTGCAATCCAGAAATGAAATGCAAACTAGAGGTAATAGACATAGTCATATGCCATTTTAATAAACAAGAACAGGAGATGATAATATCACTAAATAGAAGCATATAATAAAAAATTTGTTAGTAGGCATATGTGAAGTGACTGGTTTGATTTTTTATGGCAGTAAAACCTGGTTATGGTGTTTCATTCCATGTCTCTTTCTAAAACGGCATTTTGTTTTCTGAAACTTGGAGTGGAATTAATAACACAGATAAGGTAATGTGTTGCATCTCTGTAAATGTTTATGCAGTAAGAGTACTGAAAGAATTAATGCTGTGCTTGTCTGTACTGGGTATGTGTGCCATGATGCTCAGGTCAAAGGGTTGTTGCTACATGAGAAATAGTCTGCAGATCAGGAACTGCACCTGTAAAGTACCTATCATTTCCAGGATATAATGTCCTCTCATTCCCAGCATCCTGCAGCTGTACTATCGTCCCATAATCACATAGGAAGAGAGCATGTTCATTGTTAAATTTTATTGTGTTCATAAATATAATTCATAACATCCAAAAGAAGATTCTTGCATGCCTTTATTGTTTGGACTTAACATAGAGTAGCAGTTACAGATTGTATTGTTTCATGCATAATGTGGGCTGGAATTTTCTTTTCAAATTCAAAATTAAGAATATTGAATATACCCATGAAAACTGCCGTTTTACTTGAGCTGTTATGAATTCTTTATTAATCTAATTTTCCTGTTCTAAATCTCTAACTAAAATGTGAATGTTCATCACTTGGCTTCCTTAGTGTTTATTCATCATTACTAGTTGTCTTGCAGTTCTGAGTATGTTAACATTCTCTCTTATGCACATGTTAAACTGTACTTATGTTTCCAGAAACTTTATTTATTTAGACTGCAGTAGAATATACCAAAACATGTTGGTATGTAATCGAGATTTAGTCTTTTATATGGCAGTAATAACAGAGAAAATGGAGTTCAAAGTGTTTCCTGTGTACATATAAAATAATGTGAGGAAAATGCATTATGTCAAAATGTTAACCAAATCCATGAATATAGTATTTGTAAGTAAAAAGTATTGTATAAAAATTCAGGACTTTTATTACTGCACTATGTAGTCCTGCAACTGAGCTCCTTATAACCAGGTTTTACTATTTAATATCTAGACTCAAGACATAGTATGTTTATTCTGGTGGCAATTTCTGTTTTAAAATTCTGAGTATGCTTCTTACTGCCATGTACATTAGGAGAATACCTCTGCTTCTACTTAAGTTCTTCAGTAAACAGAAATAAGTCAGCATTATTATGTTCCTGCAAATGAAATATCTTGTACAGGACCTCAGTTTGCATTCAAAATAATGTTACCAACTCTAGTAAAAAAAAGATTCATACTACCGTAGTTATATTGTCATAGATGAGAAACAGATGTAAATGATGGATTTTGAAATAAATTTAGAAACTTCATGGAGGGAATGTATTATAGTTTTAAAGAGTGCTTTATCCACATTTTCATTGCTTTCTTTCTGTTGTGATTGGAGTGATTTCTCTAGGATTATGATCATAATGCTGCTATATATATTCTTTGGCTTGTGAGGTATATTTAATCTGGTCTTAAAATTAAAAAAAATAGTTTTCCACCTTCCTACTTTATTACACTCTTCCTCTTGTATAAGATGTTAGCCATAACTTTTAGATCCTAATAGATCAATCTTCACAAGTTACAGAAAGATTACCATCACTTGTATTGTTGAGATTTTGCATACTGTTGGCTTTATAATTAGTATGAGTTATAATATGTGGAATATAATCTTGTGAAAATCATCAACAAATCTGTGAAAAATGTAGAAATCTGACTTTTCTTATATGTTGATTATTATTTTTTAGCAAAATGCTTTCTTCTGATCTGTGAAATTAAATATTTTATGTTGTTTAATACTCTTGTTCTGTTCATTTTATATTCAGTATTTATGATAGAAAAGTGAACTTCATTGTGAGGTTTTTTATTTAGAGCACTACTATTTTATGCTTCACCGTTTGCATGCTCATTAATTTCAATATTTTCACATTATTAACATGGCTTGGCATGAACCTAGTTGAAGAACATACTGAAGCAAATGAGTACAAAATCTTGCAGAAATTTTCCTCACTTTCCAAGTTCCAATCTGTTGTGGCATAATGTTCACGTTAATGTTAGAACTTGACGTCTGCCCCAGTTACAGATGGAAGATCCACTGGCTGTTCAACAGTTACAGCAAATTCACACAAATGTGAATAAGGCTTACTTAGTCTTCAGAATTTTTGCATTTTATAAATGATTTGCAGTACCACAACAATGTAAGCAAGAAGAATCAACTTGATTTGCTAAATACTCTACTGGAATGAAGGTGGAGTTATCAGGCTAGAGGAAGGATAGCAATAATTCCTCAGTTTGCTGTATGAAAGCCATTCAGTTTTGCTTTCAGCAAAGCATCACTCGTGTCTAGTAACTCTTCTTATTTTTGAGAGCTGTGGAAAACTAACATTAAATTAGCCCAATATTGCATCAAGACAGAACGAAACAGCACTTTGATATTTGAGGGTTAAAGTGTGCTTAAATTCCAGGCCTCTCACCCACTGTCTCTTGATCCATAATATTTCAACCCTCACTGCTGTTTATTTACTAATGGAATCACATTTACACTAAATATGGAATAAGTTCCTCTGCAGTAATATCAGGATTTCAAAATTGTTCATTAGTGTGTCATGTGTAGTGTAAATTGGTGGACAATTTTAAGGCAGGATAGCAGATAATTTTATTACCGGCTGAGTTGCCGATACCGTCAACGCAGTGATATCCTGTCGGCTAAGAAGTGTAATTTAGTTTTGAGTTGGATTTGTAAGTGTGATTTAGTGCTGTCTACATATTAAAGAATAACTTGTTCCATTCACAATGCCATTGGATATGGTAAAATTTAATAAAGTTAAAACAAAATATTATGTAAATGAAGATATTTTATTGGAGTATGAGTTTAATGCAAAGGTTGGTTTCATGTCAGCGTTCCGTTAATTTATTTTAAAGTATTAATTATGCCCCTATTGTCCAAATGTGTCATCTCATTTACACAAATTTAATATGCAGTATCGGCTTATTTCAAACTTGTGAACGTTTTCTCCGGTAAAAACGGACAGGTGACGGTTAAAAATGAAAAGTAATTGTAATGTAGATGTCCGTCTTCTGGGTTGTAGTGCAGTGTAATCTTGTATAAGTTTACCTTGCTGTCTGCATCATCACGGCGATGGTTATACCGTTGTCCATAGGTTAAGGTTATCAAGATTTTCGAGTTTTAAAGTTCTTGTATAAGAAACATCTCATGCTTCCACAGCATATGTACTCAATATGCTGATAGAGAAGGTGGCCGATAGATATGGATGGTGTCTGAATATGTGCAGTTGCAGATAACGTAAGTAGGTTATGTTGTAGCTGTTCAAGCTTGTTTGTGAAAGTATTTGCTCTTTGCCATGGAGAAACTTAGATTTTTGGTAAGTTACCAATTATTTTGAAATCAGTTGTTTGAAGTGGTAACAAAAGAAATAATATTTGGGTATTAATGATTTGTAATTTGAATGTACTGTGACTACAGGAATTCAAATTGAAGATGAAAAAGAATTGTTCAGACAGATGCATATTTTTCTAGCAAAAGGAAATGGTTAGTTTAGAATTGGCTCTTCTGTACGAAAATTCTTTCGTTTGTTAGGAAACATGAGTCTGTTAATGATATACTGTAATTATACTAACAAACCCTTCATATGTGAGGTCATCTGCATTCACAACAGGATGGGCCATGCTATATAACAGGGAACCTAGGTAATGTGGCAGCTTACAACCTCTTTGCACACATTCTGCCCCACTTACATACTGACAGGTCATATGCATTTGTTTGTTTGTGGTAGCAAGGCTTTCCTCTTTTCCATTAGCCACAAACTGAGCTACATGTACAAAACCAGGTATGAGTATCTGGGAGGGAACAAATGTCAAAGGTTAGAAACCATTGGCATGTTTCTGTACACTATGAAGGTTTAGACCTTACAGGTTTATGAGATAATGCAATGTCGCTGTAATTTAAATTACTCCCTAAAGTAACTTTTTTTATCTAAAACTTGTTATGTGATGCTGTTTAGAATAAAATGATATTAGGAGTTATGTGATTTTCTAAAAGTCAGATGGGAAGATGGTCCTCTTATAAAGTCCATGTAAACATGGACCATATTAAACTGCCCTAGGAAGCATTCAAATATGCCTTTATCCATATAAAGTTCATAATGGTTTATATCAGATCTTACAGCCACAGGTAAAAAGCAATGTAGGTTGAGAGGACTTGTAATAGGTTAAGAAACTATAAGGAGCATCCGGATTAGTGACAGGTTAGTGTATCATATGTTTTAAGGATTTCTCTTGAGTGTAGTTCTGTTTGGAACATTTTTGATATGGTGAAGCAATAGATCTTCAGGAGGTGAATCAGACAGTAACTATACAATAGCTGATTAATAATTTTGAAGTTTATGTTTAGCCTAGTTCATTAATGTACCTTTATCAGATGGAGAGATTTAAATCCAGCAAAACTGAAGCTATAATATGAGGAGTTAATACTTTATTATTTCATGTTACATTTCCAGACACAGCCTTCACATCATGATTGGATTGGCTTATATCCCCGTGGATGGAAACATTTGCTACAGTGTGTTGCATTTGAATGGATAATCAGTCGCCCCTGTGAAGTAGCATTACAAAGGAGCATTCAGTTTGAATGCAGATACCACTCACAAGTTGTTTGTACTGACAGGGAATACCAGTTTCTGTACATTAATAAGAAAATTGAGGTACTCAGCTAGTGATGCCATTTATTAATTATTTATTTTTATAAAGAATTATAATTATAATTTGGTTAAATACTGGTGTTGTTTCTGGTGCTATAATTCTGGGTTCCAAAAACATTAACTTTAAATGCTTAATACAACATTAAATTCATATACTTTTTGGGAAGACCCTGAATAACTAAGATACTTTTTTCATTACCCCAGAAAAATCTGTATTGTCACATACAACAGCTACTCCTGTTGTTTTAGTAACATTGTATTTATTAGCACAGAAATTTAAATTTCTGTGTCTGAGTATTCTAACCAGCTTCAGCTTTAAATCATTTGGTCCATCATGTAACAAATTGTATTTTATTGTGAGTGCAATATGCTGGTTTTCGGAAGTAATGTTTAGAAGCTTCAATTACTTTTCCCATTTTTTTTTCTCTTCATATACCTGCAGCAGAAGGTCAAGTTCAGATAGTATGTGATTTTGTTTTCAGGTATTGGGACGCAGTCAGTACTTCAGGTTTGTGCCAGCAGGCATGTTGACAAACATAAAGTATGTTCATAGAAGTTCAAGTGAAAAAGCATTAACCTCCAGCTTTACTCTTCACTCCAACTCTCATTCTGTGAGTTACTACATGTTCATCAAAAGTTTAAAGTGGTTTTGATTGAATGGTAGACAGTATTCAAGGTGTGTTAAGCATAATGATTGTTAATATGAAATCAATATGCAACAGAGAATGTGCAGATATAGTTGAGTTTTCTTCAAAACAAAACTACACCCTCTTACTACAAGTTATGAGACCAGGATTAATGACGAATCAGGAGAAATTCTGTGGTCAGTACAGGAATTTGTGTGCAAAATAAAGAGTAATTATACTTGGTAAAGATCATCTGTCCTGAGTAAATGCTTAGAGCAGAGTCATTGAGGTAGTAATTGCCTATATTACCCACATGCCAAGAAGCCTGTACCCATTCTAACAAAGTTTCATTCATATTTGCTACACACTGTAATCCTGACAAAACCTCATGATTTTCTTCTTGGTACCATTGCTGATACATGCTGATTTTTCATCTTTCTTCTACAGTATTTGTAATTAACATTCACTTACTCCTATCATGATTTCAGGCAACATATTTTTATTATATTGTTGTCAGAGTTGCCTACTGGTAGATGCTTTATATTACCAGTCTCACACATCCTGATAACATTTGTGTTGTACAGAGAGAGAAATTCACAAATCACTTTTATGGATCCTGCTGCCCTGTCTGTTGTAGAAAAATTGTGTTCCATGGTTACATAGATGGGGTATATAAGGTGGTAATGAGAAAGGAGAAGAGACATTATTTACTAGGCTGCTAATGAAATGAGAGAGATTCATATTTCATCTATAGAGTAATTCTTAAACATTAAGAAAATAACTTAAGTTCATTTATTAATGTATTAATTTTCCAGAAGGTGAAGTCATCATCAGAACTAATTCACAACATACAGGATCACATCCAAGATCTGAAGAATGACCTAGAAATGAGTAAGATAGCTCAGAGGCAAATGAAGCTAGCAGCCCATCATTCTGAAATGGAGAAGCTGGCTTACCAGAAGTTTGTCAGTGAATTGTTGATTGCATTATCACAGAAGGGTATTGCTCGAATAATAGATGACGAAGGAAAGGAGGCAAGTTATTGTGTAATGTGTTTATGAAGGAATGTTCAATCACTAACTATAATTTTTTATGTCCCACAACATTATTTTCCCATTTTACATTACTGTTGTTCTGTTGGTTTATGAATTTGTATTCCCCATTTTTTTAATTTTATATATATTTTTAAAGGTTTTGCATAACATAAACACATTTAGGGCTGATCATGTTTGTCTGATCATTTGCATGTTTCACCTCAAGAACTGATGCATGGATTTTGATTAAATTTGGCATTTATGTTATGCCATTAGAGGCTACCCAAGCCTTGTATGTTTTAGTTTCCAATTATCTGTTTAGTAATATGGCAGACACAAGAATTAGTGAGATGGAAACAACACTATCACTAGCATTAGCGGCACGGGCTCTGGGTTAATGTATATTGACATCTTCAAATATTGTTACTTTCACTGTTCATTTTGTATCTCTTCAGACCTGATTTCATTTATCAAATTAATTTTACAGCACTGAAAATCTTCATGAATTATTGAACCTGCTTCACAGTAAACTTATACATTAATGTTGATGTGCACCCACTGTATAGGGCTAGGTCATGTCAGCCCATGGGTATGCTGACTAGAAGCCATTGAAATTTCAAGGTCACTTTGCATTATTTTTCTGCTGAAATGTAGATATCTGATCATACTCATGTCGAGTTGAGGTAACGAATCGATTAAGGTTTTGTCAAGGTCACAACAGTATCAGTCCAAGGGTTTGCTGAATAGATACATGGTTGAACAGGATTTGCTGCACCTCAACATTAGATGGTTATTCATTAGCTTCCAGTTTCTGTAGACAAAACCTGCAGAGGAGAGGAGTGTGTATTTTTGTTAAGAAAGATCAATGTTTCAACAAAATTGATATTTCACAACACTGTAAAGAACAGGATTTAGAAATTTGTGCAATTCAGCTAGAGACAAAACCAGCCAACTTAGTTATATTAAGCCTGTACAGAGCTCCATCAGGTAATTTTCAATAATTTCTAAGGGGACTAGATGCTACTCTGAAGTATCTGTATAATCCAAAAACTGAATTTTTAATCTGTGGCGACATGAATGTAGACTATCTAAATGAAAACTGCCGGAAAAAACATCTGAACTTTCTACTAGTAACATATAATTTGATACATACTGTAAACTTTGCAACAAGAATTCAAAATGACTCAAGAACAGCAATTGATAACATTTTTGTGGATAGTATAAGACTTAGCTCAACTTTTTTTCTAAGTACAGATTAAATCCCTCACAGCATGGTTTTCGTACATGTAATTCCACAGCCACCAATTTGGTTACTTACCTTAATTCCGTTTTACCTTCAGTTGCTACTCAAGGACAAACAGATTCAGTATACTTTGATCTTACTAAAGCTTTTGACTTAGTTCCTCAGAATATTCTTCTTGATAAACTTAGAAACTTTGGACTATCACCTAATTATGTTGATTGGTTCCATAGTTATCTTTCTGACAGACAAGCCTTTGTTCGTGTCTCTGGAACTGTTTCATTTTCTTATCGTATTTAGTGTGGAGTGCCTCAGGGTTCCACCCTAGGCCCCTTTCTTTTTAATATATTTATTAATGATATTTGCGACTCCATACATCATTCACAGTGCCTTTTATTTGCTGATGACTGCACTGATGACAGCACGACATCCATTCAGTGCAAAATTGGTGTCTTGTGAATGGGATGCAACTTAATTTAAGTAAAACGACTTATATCGTTCACCCGAAAGACAAACGGTATTTACTTTAATTACAAATTGTGTAACAACCTGGTGGCACGCTCCCATTGTGTTAAAGAACTTGGTGTTCTATTGGACTGTAAGCTTTATTTTCACAAACATATCAACTATATATTCTCACAAAGCTTAAAAATGCTTGGTTTAATTTGTTACATTACTTTTTCCTTTTCCGCTATTGATAGCCTTTTGGTTTTGTACAGTACCTTAGTCCGTTTTAAAATTGAGTATGCATCCGTTGTTTGGAACTCTATTACTCATACTGACTCCTTTAAATTGGAAAGGATTCAAAGGAAATTTGTAGCTCTATGTTACACTAGATTTTCTAATGGCGTTTGTGCTTATAATTATGATGATATATTAGTCAGATTAAAGTTTCTATCGTTGCATTTAAGGAGGAGTCTTTTGGATGCGCTTTTCCTCATTAATGTTTTTAAAGGCAAAATTAGTTGCTCATCTGTTTTTGATACAGTTAGTCTCTGCATACCCACTAGGTCTATCAGAGACTACTCTAACTTTACTGTACAATGTAATTTCAAGGCTAGTCCCTCTGCCAGATGTGTTTCTGCTGCCAATGCAGTCTGTAGGAGCATTGACATCTTTAACAAAGATTGTGTTTTGCCTACTGATGTCAGTCAGCTTTTTAAACAATAATCTTTTTTTTTTGTTTATTTAGTATGACATTTTATTTTGTATGTTGTTTGCTCAAAATTGAGCTGATGTTAACTTAATTATTGTTTTACTTATGTATAATTTTTAGCTGATTTACTTATTAATTATTTTGCAATAAATTAATGTTGTACATTTATATATTTAGTTCATTGTTTGTTTGCTTTTGTATTGTTGTTAGTGCTTGGCTGTTATTGGCCTTTTTGGCTGTTGTGAAGCACTTTAATAAATGAATTGAATTGAATCAGCTTTAAAGGATACAGTAGAATTTCCTCACAAACTGTAAGACATTAGGATTTTTTCTGTATAATATAAAATTAAATTTACAGAATTTTACATATGAGCCCATTTTATATGATAAATGTGTATCATATTAAGATATTGCATGTCAGCAAGCACTGACACACTCAGATCAGTATATTTTGCCTATTTTCACTCTTTAATGAAGTATGGAATAATTTTGGGGGGAAATTCATCAAACAGTAAAAAAATATTCACTTTACAAAAGAAAATTATTAGATTATTGGCTGGTATAAAACCTAGAAATTCATGTAGAAGTCTATTTAAGAGATTAGAGATCTTAGCTCTTCCATGTGAATACATATCCTCATTAATGAACTTTATTGTAAATAACCAAGAACTCTTTCAAACTAATTTTGCTATACACAGTGTCAACACAAGGAATAAAAATCAGCTTCATAGACTAATTGCCAACCTCTCATGTTTTCAGAAGAGTGCATATTATGCAGGGATCAAAATTTTCAACAGTCTACCATCTAATCTCACAAGTCTTGTAAATAAGAAGGCACAATTTAAACTAGCATTGAAAAGATACTTAATTACACACTCCTTTATTATTATTATTATTATTATTATTATTATTATTATTATTATTATTATTATTATTATTATTATTATTATTATTATTATTATTATTATTATTATTATTATTAGTGGCCTGTAAAATATTCAAGGTCTTTTTTCTCACCCTCATTTCTGCCAAATATAAGTATCTGAGAGCACTGTGAAGATTGCTGATAAGTGTGTTGGTAAAATTTTGTGTGCAGATGCTAGTGAAGCAAGTTCTCAACAGTGAGACACAGTCAGATGTCACAGAGGAGCATCCTCCTCAGGGTGTTTTAAAAATGTTGTAAAGAGAGTGTTTGCTGAAACCTGTAATTGGCTGTCAAGAACAAGTAATACATTAACTGCATATGCTTTGCGACTCCACCTCTAAGGTATGACAAAACTTAGCTGTGAATTTTTTTTCTTTCAATCTGTTATTTATTATCAGTAGTAAATTCCTGTCTTAACATTTACAGCTCCCAACTCTTTGGGACAGATGTCAACTGCAAAAGGAAAAGAATATTTTTTATTAGGAGGGTCAGTCTGTAATGTTTATTGTCTTGGTGTGTTTGATTCTGTAAGTACAACTGAGTTGAATTGGATGGCTTTAATGTTTGCACAGTGCTTGTATCTTTATTTTTATGAAATAGTAAAAGGGTATATTGAAGACCATTACTAGGCCCCACCCAGGCCCTGGGGTAGCAATCCCAACTGAGCTTCCACTTGTCAGCCATGTGTGTCTTCATTGTTTTATAGTTTGAAATAAAAATACAATTGTTTCAGATGGATTTTTTAATTTCAGATTAGAACAACATAGAAGATCAGTTTGAGGAGCTCTCAAACACTAAGAAGTCTTGAAGCAGGCAGTTCGGTTGCTTATTTCCATTGCACCCCATGAACAAAGTGACATGATCATAGTAGTCGCAGAAATTGAGAAGGGACTGAATTATAACCAAAGATAATGCAGAATGTTTTTCTATCAGAAAGCCTTATGAGGCTTCATGTCACTCTGTAAGTTTTAATTCTGAATCATTATCTTGTGATGAAGCAGAACAGATTTGTTTAGTTGGTAACAAAGAATAAAATTTGCTTAAGTTTGCTGATAAAAAGGCAGAGAAACAATATCCTGGTGACTGTGCAGAACCTGTCAGTGAGAAAACCCTCACAGATGTTAACGAAAGTTTATCAAAGCCTGAAGCTGTTGATGTGCTGTCTGCATTAGTTGTTGATGATCAGTTTTGAAGTAAGTGGTGTCTGATATTGAACAGAACCATTATTATTTGAAATGTTTCAGTATTAACTCATTATATATATATATATATATATATATATATATATTGCAATTTTTAAATTTTTTTTTCATTTAGATACTGAGGGAATGGACATTTTACAACTTAGTTCATAACTATAAATATTTACTGACATTTTTCTGGTAATTTTTAAATGTTTTTTTCATTTAGATACTGAGGGAATGGACATTTTACAACTTAGTTCATAACTATAAATATTTACTGACATTTTTCTGGTAATTAGGCTGTGAATCATTCCAAGAAGATATTATTCAAAAACTGAATAGTGTAGAGTTAGTGTTGTGTTATTCATTTTCAAACATATAAACATAGTTTTGCCATTTATGGCTTATGATATATTTTAAAACTAAGAATTCTGTGGTACAAACATATTTATAGAATTTGTAGAAAATTCCTACCCCTGTTCTGGGACTTAGGTTATTATTCTGTTGTAATGAGAATGTTTCAAGTCTATTTCTTTCAGAAGTATTTTTTGTTACATATTAATAAGAATTGTTTAGATACTTTGTATTCATGGTTCGTAACTTTTAGTACTTCATAAGTCGCTTAACTGTTATCAGTTTTCTAGCTTTGAAATATTTGACTGTGAACTGATGGCATTATTCTGCAAAGCAGATTATACTGATAAAATATTTATCTGTTTCCTATGAAGCCACTTTGTAAACATGATTTTGGAATTAACAAAAGTGAAGCCTGTAGTGAGAGTGAGAATTGGCATGCTGTGGGCTTGGAACCTTTTTTTGATACTAATATGTCTACACTAAATACCTCCTTTCAAATTGCCTTTTCTCTGTTAACGAAAGTCTTACTACCTTCTGCCAATTACCTTGATCTTGTCCTGTCATTTATCAGAATTTGTGCCAGATGTGTTGGCAGATACAACATGTCTGGTCACAAGATATAAATATGTAAAGGAACCTTTCTTATTATAATGTCTTTATCCTGTGAAAGACCTTGCATGTTTACCAACTGCGCACTGCACGTATATGTTTAACAGATGATGACAGCCAAGAATAGTTGGCTCCAAACTGTACAGTCTGTACAGTATAAAATCTAGACTGTTTGTTGTTTTCTTAATTGTTACTAGTTTTTATGCATTTATAATTGTCTGCTTTTGTGTTGTTTTTTGAAAAGAAATTAAAAACATTGATTTAAAACATCTGTATCCAATGGATGGAGTCTGGTACTAGAACATTCTTATATTTCATTTAACAGGAGGAGTAGATTTATAAGAAAAAATCATTAAGAGTGTTATGTATATGTAAGAGATTTAACTTCTCAAAAAATCACAGAATCTCAAAGAAAGGACATGCAGATTTAACTCTAATAACTTTGAAATAATACTTTTCTGTTGTGGGCCTCATTATTTTTCTTACATCACTCATCTTTCTAGGTGGTAAATTATCCCCATAGAAAAATACATTAAAGATATAAGCTCTCTACATTCACTCTTATTTCACCTTCTTTTACATTAAATTTGATGTAAATTGGAAAGATTGAGCTTTATTCATTTTTATATATGTCTGAATTAAAAATATGAAATTCTGTCAGTGAGATAGATGTTTTAAAATATATTTTGTTTGCAGTTAATGAAGCGCTATGATAGTTTTTCCTAAGATGTGTTCTATTCCCAGAATGACCATTTTTTGTAGTTTAGTGTCAGAGTATTTACCAGGGATGCCATGAAAATACTTTTGAAATATTTGAAATAAGCTTTCAGTTGCATCAGTAATTATTGGTATCACCTTCACATTCCACATAGTTTTTCTGCTTCCTTCTTACTACATTTGACAGTTGGTATAGAAAATTCGATTAGTGCATGTGTTTTCTATCCCAAAGTGTGGTGTCAGCTTTATTGCATGTTGTAATTTGGTGATTCCATAGTATGCTAACATTATTATGACTTTACTCAGCTGACTGGCATATGTATATGTTCATATCATTTGTGTTTTTATACTTTCATTTCTATTTGTTTACACATATTACAATGTAGTTATGTGCACACCACATCATGATATTTTATGTACTCTTCCTTAGCTCTTTGGCACATTCTGCATTTTTCACTGCCTTTGTAGCATGATATTTCAGGAGCTGCCATTTTCTGATTTTTTATCAGTGTTTTGTTCCTGTGCCAGTTCCCTTTATTTTAGCACCTGAAGAATGGTTACATGCTTGGATAAACAGAAAGTCATTTGGAAGTTTCACAGAAAAAACATGATATTTCTGTAAGTTGAATTAACAGTCACTTAAAAAGGCTTGTTCAGAACATTGTACTTTGTTAATGCACAATAAATATGAATAAATGTGAATTTTCTTTCTTGTGCTGATTTTAATTGAATAGGACAGTCACTTTTTCCCAGAGCTTCTAATTCATGGACAACTTCTGAACTTATCCATGTTATCACTTATTTATTTTTTCTGTCACTTGGATTTTAAAAAAGATTTAGTTGGTTAATAATGACAGCTTTTGTGCCACATGGATTTGCCCTGTACTTCTAGTGGGACTACACAGCTCCCCTGTTGCCTCTCTGCTGGAGCCACTCTTGTGTGTCTATTCTTAGCCTGCCTGTTGTTTGGTTGAGAGTTTCCCAGAATAGCTACAGGAGACTGGGTAGTGTAGTTATAAACAGAATGTTCATATTCTGTGTGTTGTAGTGATTTGCAGATTTAAGTAATGAATCTCTGTTTTGTACATGAAGTATTGTGCTTTTGTGGCATATATAATACAAGGAAAATTGTGGAAAATACAATTTCTAGTACAAAAGAAGCAGTTTGAGTTATATGCTTTTGAATAATTTTCATCACTTGTTTAAAGAATAAAATATACATAAACCTAATATTATCACTTATAAATAATTAAAAGTTGGAATATGACAACAGCACAAGTAGGTAACTAAGTCCTTGTATTTTATGTATACATACATGTTGAATCTGCATTGACTAGATGCAAAATCACCATATTTCATCCTTAAATTCACTCCATATTATACCATTTATGTCCATTTTCTAAATATAAATGTTATCTTTAGATGTGAATTAATTTGTTGTTTGGAAGACATATTTTGTCCTTCCATAGATCTTTAATATGCAGAAACCAGATTATAGAATGGCAGCTTTGTAGTTTTGCCTTTTCACTGATAAGAATTTAAAGGTGGAAAATTAAACTCCTAAGTTAAAGAATGATGAGATAGATGGTTCCTTGAAATGTTGGTGATTTTTAATCAACTGATGTAGCTGATAGCTTGAGAAGATTTTACTAATGTATGTCTATGTTTCTTTGCATTTATATAATATATATAGTATTGGCTTTCATGTCAATTTGAAACAGAATGGTATGGTTAAAGTACTTATATTTTAAAACTATTAATTTCAGTTTTAAATATTTTTACTGGATAAAAGAAAATTGGTTGCAAAGTGATAAAACAATTTTATTCAAAATAAAATTCCTGTTTCACCTAAAATTACCTGTTACCAGCAGCAGGAGTATTGGCTGAACAATATAATAATTAAAAGTTCTAATTTTGTAAACCAGGTGCTGTGATAAGTTTTAATGCACTGTTACAATTCTGTAGTCTTGCAGTTCTTTGTTCCAGCTGCAGTGACATCATGGGGAAGTTCAGCATCTGTAATTCTATTTATAAATCCATTGTCTAGGAGCAGTGAGGTGAGTGTACTAACTGATATGACATTATGTTAACAAACGCAGTAAGAAGCACGAGACTCGAGTGACGTAGAAGTTCATGTTGGTTCTTACAGTTCTGCCATCAGCAGTAACTAGAAGCAAACTGACTCTGGAGAGGTGTACACAACAGCTGGCCACTGCATTTTACCATGTAAGTTGACTGGATGACTTAGATATTGATCCTGTATATAGTATTTTGTAACAGCTCAAACTCTTCTTATGGTTACTTGATAAGTACAATCTCTGATAATATTCCTAACTTCTTTGTTTTCGTTCTTCTCATTAATGAATGCTCATGTTATATGAGTGTGATTTATTTTAATTAATCTGCTTTTTGTAAAGTATATATTACTTGTGTCTGGAAAATCTTTCCATCTGAGAAATATTTGGTGAGACATTTAGAAGTTCTTATACATATTAAATGCTTTATAAGTATTTATTCAGCTAGGTCCAAGTTGCTTTATATGTACAGGGAAGCAAATTTGCAGGTCAAAAACACACATATATGAACAAGAGATTTGATGTTTGACATTGTAATTGAGTATAAAACTAGAGAAAAAACAGAAAAGTAAAGTATATACCATTTGAGTAAATGTAAAGTAAAATATTCTGTTATTGCCGGAGTTTTGTTTAAGAAGTGAAGGAAAACCATGGTGCAAATCTTTCCCTCTTTTTATATCAGTATTAACAGAAAAGAGTTTTATGCCAGTCTGTTTAATAGAGAATACAAATCATCAAATAATTTATATTATTGAAATACAGTTCCTTCATGTGTCACTAAACCTGTGATAAGAAAACTCCCAAACATTCTTAGTTTCTCAATGGTGTGCAAAATAAACTTATCTTACATGCTGCTTGTGGCACATGTTCCAGTAGTTCACCATGTGTTAGCAGTTTAATGCTGAAGTATTTGGAATGATGTACAAATGTTTTATTTTGGACTAAAAGAAAGAGAAATTTCTTTCAAGATTTCAGTTTATTTGTGCTTCTCTTAAAATTTATTTATTATTTGCAACATTTTTCTCAAAATATTTTGTACCTAACCTTTGATGTCAATTTCGTATGGCGGAATTAATAAACCTTTATTCCTTTGTTATGAGTTTGATTTGCATTAAGTTTCTTCTGGACAGTCTAGACAATCCCAACAATTAATGTTAGGCTAAGGAAAATTAATAAAAAAACCAATGTTAACAGTTCCTTTTTCTCTTTCTTTTTTTCTTGGCTATTTACATTGATGAAATGGAAGATGTTCAGGCTCTTGTGCCCTAATATAAATTGTACACTCATTTAAGTGACCGTAAGGCTAGGAATATCTGAAAAGGCTGAGTCAGGTTTGAAGGGTAGTTGTTTTGGCTTTCTCTGTGCTAGTGAGTCAGTCCTAATATTAGGGCACAAAGACTTGCAGTTGTTAATAATAATAATAGACAATTAAATATAGACATATATTTATAACCACAGATATGCAGAACCGTGGATAGTGAAAGCACATATAATGAGTCACCTGTATTTGCATGTTACTGACTAAGGTTCATAGTAAACATCTTATTGTACTTTTAAGAAAAGGTGGATCCATCTGTTATTTTGTCCTTTAGTTTGACAGTGGCACATCTGTAGTAGAAAGGGAAACGAAGTCCACCTGAAATATGGGAAATTCAAGCAGCCAAGAACAGGTGAAACATGACCCTTGGTGGGAGCCTTATCAATTGCAGCACCGCAGCACACAAAATGTAACTATGTCAAAACACTGCACAAAAACTAATATTAATTTCCTGATAAAAAGGCATTTCCAATCATTAGTTCATATTGTGTTTATAAGTTTACAGTATTTTCAGTTTTATTACATGCCTGACCAAGACTTCAAACGGCAACATAGCAAACAATAAAAACATGAGAACTTATTATAACCAGGTAATGGTAAACATAGAGTAGAGGAACTGACAACACAGATGAATGAATGAATACTTTATCAAGTTTTAATGTTCATATACAATAGGGTAACTGCAATAAACACTGGTAGAAGTTCTGTGGGAAGTGGTGATCATGTAACTGAACTGTTACCAAGTAGACGCTTGGTTAGGAAGTGTCCGATATTATAAAGTTCATACATATTATAAAGGCTGATCACCATTACTACAAATATTTGCCATTGTACTGTATCCAGAGCCACTTAAATCTAGTTTACATCTTAAGAACCTCTGTTCTTAATAACTTTTCCAAAATATTTGAATTTATTATTTAGATCACTTGCAAAATTTTTCTAAGTACAGATTAAATCCCTCACAGCATGGTTTTCGTACATGTAATTCCACAGCCACCAATTTGGTTACTTACCTTAATTCCGTTTTACCTTCAGTTGCTACTCAAGGACAAACAGATTCAGTATACTTTGATCTTACTAAAGCTTTTGACTTAGTTCCTCAGAATATTCTTCTTGATAAACTTAGAAACTTTGGACTATCACCTAATTATGTTGATTGGTTCCATAGTTATCTTTCTGACAGACAAGCCTTTGTTCGTGTCTCTGGAACTGTTTCATTTTCTTATCGTATTTAGTGTGGAGTGCCTCAGGGTTCCACCCTAGGCCCCTTTCTTTTTAATATATTTATTAATGATATTTGCGACTCCATACATCATTCACAGTGCCTTTTATTTGCTGATGACTGCACTGATGACAGCACGACATCCATTCAGTGCAAAATTGGTGTCTTGTGAATGGGATGCAACTTAATTTAAGTAAAACGACTTATATCGTTCACCCGAAAGACAAACGGTATTTACTTTAATTACAAATTGTGTAACAACCTGGTGGCACGCTCCCATTGTGTTAAAGAACTTGGTGTTCTATTGGACTGTAAGCTTTATTTTCACAAACATATCAACTATATATTCTCACAAAGCTTAAAAATGCTTGGTTTAATTTGTTACATTACTTTTTCCTTTTCCGCTATTGATAGCCTTTTGGTTTTGTACAGTACCTTAGTCCGTTTTAAAATTGAGTATGCATCCGTTGTTTGGAACTCTATTACTAATACTGACTCCATTAAACTGGAAAGGATTCAAAGGAAATTTGTAGCTCTATGTTACACTAGATTTTCTAATGGCGTTTGTGCTTATAATTATGATGATATATTAGTCAGATTAAAGTTTCTATCGTTGCATTTAAGGAGGAGTCTTTTGGATGCGCTTTTCCTCATTAATGTTTTTAAAGGCAAAATTAGTTGCTCATCTGTTTTTGATACAGTTAGTCTCTGCATACCCACTAGGTCTATCAGAGACTACTCTAACTTTACTGTACAATGTAATTTCAAGGCTAGTCCCTCTGCCAGATGTGTTTCTGCTGCCAATGCAGTCTGTAGGAGCATTGACATCTTTAACAAAGATTGTGTTTTGCCTACTGATGTCAGTCAGCTTTTTAAACAATAATCTTTTTTTTTTGTTTATTTAGTATGACATTTTATTTTGTATGTTGTTTGCTCAAAATTGAGCTGATGTTAACTTAATTATTGTTTTACTTATGTATAATTTTTAGCTGATTTACTTATTAATTATTTTGCAATAAATTAATGTTGTACATTTATATATTTAGTTCATTGTTTGTTTGCTTTTGTATTGTTGTTAGTGCTTGGCTGTTATTGGCCTTTTTGGCTGTTGTGAAGCACTTTAATAAATGAATTGAATTGAATCAGCTTTAAAGGATACAGTAGAATTTCCTCACAAACTGTAAGACATTAGGATTTTTTCTGTATAATATAAAATTAAATTTACAGAATTTTACATATGAGCCCATTTTATATGATAAATGTGTATCATATTAAGATTTTTTTCTCCTCCATTTATTTCCTGAAGTTAATCTGTGTATGTGATTAGTAAGCCTTTGTAGTTATTCACTAATCAGTATTCTCCCCGGAAGAAAGTAGTAGCAGCTTATTGAAATATTATTCTGCCATTCACACACTTTATTTAGAATAATGAACTAGAGAAATATTTAAGTATTTGTCACTTTTTATGGTCACTAATTTATAACAAAACCTATTAATGTTTTTGCACATGCTGTCGTAGGTTGAAACACAGGAGCCAAATGCTGCAGCTTCTAAGATACACGTACAAGAAGCCACAATGCTATGTGAAGAAGTGACATTATCAGAAACAGCGTGGCAGCAGAGGGAACTAACACTAGGGCAAACTATCCAGCACCTTGCAGAAGAGAATATGCGACTAGCTATGGCGAAACAGGCCGCTGAGAAGAGAACGGAGGAAATGCATGTAGAGCTTGCAGCAGAGTCACAGCGTAAATCTGAAGAAATAAACAGACTGCAATGTGAAGCAGAAAAAACTCAGATGGTATTTGAGAAACTTCATGCCCAGATACAGGCAGGTAGAGAGGACAGACAGATGATAACATTAGAAATGGAGCGGATTAGGTCTGGTTTTGATGCAGAACGAGAGGCAAAAGAAGAAATAATTGCTGAAATGAGGAAACTAAGGGAAGAAAGGGATATAAATAGAAGAGAAGCAGAAAAAATGAGAGAACAGTTAATCTGTGAGAGGAAAGTAGTGGAAGAGACAACAGCAGTACTTAGTCAGGAGAGGGAAGAGAAGGAGTGTCTGTCAAAAGAATTAGAGAAACTGAGAGAAGAATTTAAATCTGCAAAGACATTATTGCTTTCAACTTCAGTTGATTTGCAAACACATGATGTGCCAGAGCAACAACAGCTGCAGGTAGGAGAAAGCAGTGGGTCTGAGGAGTCAGCAGCTGTGCGGATAAGGAGTCCAGAGGCAAAGGCAGAAATGGAGAGGTTCCAAGCAGAAATGATTACAAGGAGGGAAGTCCGGCAACGAGTAATGCACGCCGTTTCCTCGGAAATGGAGAGATTAAGGACAGAACTGAATTCTGAACGTGAAACTCGAAAACAACTGGAGCAGAGTCTGCTGCATATTGGTAGTGGCAGAAAATCGGGACAAGGAGAGACATTAACTCTAGATTTGGAACAGGCACAGCAGAAAATTAAAGTGGATAAGAAGAGACTCAAACAACTAAGTCAAGAAAATGAAAGATTAAATTTTGAAATAGAAAATGGACGCCAGATTCTTGCAGAGAGGACTGAAGATCTAGAGAGGCTACAAACACAATTGGTAGCTGAACGTGAGCATTTTGAGAAACAAATAGTGGCTCTCAAGGAAGTGGCAGCTATAAGCAAACAAATGTTGATAATAAGGGAAGGTCAGGTAATGCAGTTGAAGGAGAAGCTGAAGGAAATTGAAGCTTCGATTACAGATAAAGTACATGGGAAAGTATCAGTTGATGTAAAAACTGAATATGAATCTCAGATGGAAAACATTCGCAGTTTGAAGGGTCTGTATGAGGAACGTATGAAAGTCGTTTTATTAGAAAAGGAGAAATTAGTCCGCGAGTCTGAAGAGAAATCTCAACTTTTACAAGCAGAAATAAAAAAATCAGCAGAGTTTGAACAGCAACTGGCAGAATTGAAAATATCCCTGTCACAGAAAGAAGAAGAAACTTCTAATTTGCAGATTCAGCTCGATGATTCTCAGGATAAAAGTCGAGGTTTGGCCAATGAACTCTCACATATAAACAACCTGTTTACCCAGATGCTAGTTAGCAGCACTGCAACAGACATGGATCTTGATAAACTCACTAGACTACTTCAGGAAAATCATGATCTTATCACAGAAATAACAATAAAGGAAGACTCTAGTGAGGCTGCTGCCACTTTGCCAAAACTGCTGTTAGACATAGTGACCCAAGTGGACAGTGGTACAGCTTCAACATCAAGCTCTCCCACAGGTAACAGGATTGAGGACAATGAAGCAAACTTGGAGACAGAAACCTCTCCATTTGCCCATGATCTCACAGCAGAAAATGTGGCTGGAGTCAACAGTAAAAGTTCATCTGAAGAAGGTGCTAATGGTATGGCAATTCAGGATATAGCTCTGAATCTACCCAAAGTTTGGAAGGTGCTTATGGAACTCCTTAGTCATCATGTAGCTCCAAATTATGTTGAGGACTGTGACGATGATAAAAATAGTTGCTATAAAAGTGTTGATACACCATCTGGCCCTCGTCTGGTCATTAGTGTTAGTAAAACATTCCTCCGACTCAAAGACTTGATTCTAGAAAAGAAATCACTTCAAAAGGAGCTGACTCGTCTGAAACAGCTGAACGGACACTTGGAGTGTAAGCTGAATAACCAAGAGCAGAAACTGTCCGTAGTATCATCTGAACTGCGAAAAACATGGAATGTCGTTGATCGGATGCAGACCCAGCACCAGCAACTACACACTCATGAGAAAATACTGCGCTATGAGCTTCATGAGAAACGCAAGATGCTTAATGAGTTGAAACAGGAACTGGAGTACTGCCGTGAGAAGTGGGAGCGTGCTCGACAGAAAAACTCTGAATCCGAAGTGGAATGGAAGAAACTCAGAAAGGAGTTTGCTTCACGTAAGAAACAACCTATGGACTTGCTCAACAATTCAGGTGAGAGTGGTTTTTCAGATGAGAGAGGAGATGATAGCTGTGAAGATGATGATGGAACAAATAAGGATACTGGACAGTTGGATCCGGGGATTGGGAAAGTTTCTGGTCTGCATGCTCACTCTGGGGCTATTCGCACATCATCTCCACTGAACACAAATTTCCCACAATCTCACATGTCTCTCAGTTCTTCAGATATGTGTGAGGCTAACAGTTCAGGTAGTTCAGTTGAGCAAACTCAGCTATTGCTCAATGAACCCATCCTGTCAGGAACAAATATAATGCCATTATCTCCTGCTTCTGAACATGCAGAGCTGTTAAATCATTCTGAATCTCAATTAATGATGGACTTGGAAGCCGAGTTACTGCCTAACTCGGAACGCTCAGGTTCTGCAAGCAGTGATCAGCAAGACGCCTATTATATTGAAATGCAGTCGTGCTCATCAAGCATGTGCTTTGATTCTCTGCAACATAATACCAAAGAAGAGGATGTATCAGGCCGCAGAATGGATCCTCCAGCCCACCATGATTGTTCCACAATTTCATTAATCACATTGTTAAAGCAACAGCTGTCATTCTTTTCTAGGAACCTTGATTATATTACAGCTGGGACAGATGACATCTTAGGACATAATTTGCAAGCTCTAGAATCTATATTTTCTTTACCTCCTATTCAAATTCCAAAAACTATAAATGATAACATCACAAAGCAAGATTATTTTTCGTCATTTTACTGTTGTGAACAGGAAGATCCTCTTAATTTTAGTTCATCACCTATATCATCATCAATCCCCATGACACCTGACCTTCCCAGTGATAAAGCTGGTGACTCTGTTTGTTCTACTTTAAAACCAGATCATGCGATAATGTCTGGTGAAACAGAAGCTGTTGAAGAAAACAGTACAGAAAATTATTCTTTGTTAGAAAACACAACTTCAAAAGAGACAGATGAAAGTAGTACATTAGAGGAGCCAGATGTTGGAAATAACTCGTGTAATCAACGTAATTCATGTGATGGCCCAAAAAGTTCAGAGGAATTAGGAGCTGTGGAATATAGTCAAGAGCATTTGAAGGCCAGCAGAACACCTGAAGAAATTGCAGAAGCCCGTGCGGCTAGGCTCAAGAGGTTGGAGGAGCAGTGTCAACAGCTTTACAACAAAGTTACTAGGACCACCCATCGTAGCACTGCATTATGTAATAGATTAGAAGAGTTACATGAGCAATACAGAGGCAGTGATTCCCCTACAGGTGCCAGAGCTGATTCAGAAAGTAATATTCCTGTCCCGCCTCCATTTCCTCATGTACTTCATGCCAGGCGGATTCCAACAACTCCAGTACTGACTCAAAACAATAATTCAGAAGAATTACTGGCCTCCACCTCCTTGACCTCATCACCTTCATTCCTGAACACCTTTTATTCTAAAGAGACCCCAACAGGTACAGAACAGAACAAAATAAATTATTCAAGAGATATTTCTGAAACAGACAATATCCCTACGCCTCCACCATTCCCTAACAATCTTCATCCGATGCAAATCCTTACTAGTTCAGAATCGACAGTAACCCAAATCAGCGATGTTGAAGGAGAGTCAGGAAGAAATTTTATTCCTACACCACCTCCACTTCCTCAGATCCTCAGGGGAAGACTGCTTCCAGTCTGTTCTGTGCAGTCACAAAGTAGTAATACAGAATTGCTTGATAGCACGATACAGACTGCAGACGAAACGACGACACAACGAATTCCTAGCATTACACAGACGCAAGAAGAAATGTTACAGGGACCTGCCATTTCCAGTTCATCTACAAGAGATACAAGCCATACAAATCCAGATTTAAAATAAAATAGAGCAAATCTGGATGTTAATATAAAATTACTTTTACTGGTCATACAATTTGGAAGAGAGAAAGTAAAACAAAACTTTGTTAGTATTAAGAATAAGCATTTAGAATAACCACAAAATACAAAAAACCTGTTCAAATTAATTGTAAAATAAATTTACTCAGTCCTGTTACAATTAATTCAGTTTAGAACAAGAACTGTTCTAGCATGTAGGTTCTTGCATGCGTATAATGTAAAACATGACTAGTGTTCAGAATAAATATAAAGGTTATTGTAAATACAGTTCAGTATTTGTAAAATGACATATTTTTTATATTTCTTGTGACAGAATGGTTGTAAGATCTTGTAGGGTTGTCTGTGATTGTTTTATATATGAATTTTCTATACACAGTGCAATACAGCACTTTCTGCTTTGTTCAAACAAAAGACTATGAAAGGAATGACTTTGTAACTATAATTTCATTGTTGACATTAAATAAATCAGTAACGGAAGGTGATTGATTATCCTACGATCCTGAACTGAATTAGAATTTTTTTCAACGCCACATTAAGCGAACCATTGCCAACTTCGTTCAGTTGTGTGATAACCGGGAAATTTCATGCGGCCCTCTAAAGGCGTTTTCTTCAGAGAATTTGACGTTCTCACGGTGGTAAAGATGTCGATGTTGGTATTCTAACGAAATGTTGGTATCTACTGCCTTTTCCGCGGCTTGAGTGTTATGTCGTGGGATAATGTGGACGGGACCTACGTCAAACCAAACTTCTGAAACGGAACTGGCACAGTCAAAGCAGACGGTAACAAGTTTTGTTGGATCTGAAATGCAGCAAATTGTAAGTACATAAGGAAATGTGAGTCAGATAACCAATCATCTTTTACTGTTCACTACCTGAAGCTATTCTAATAATCACTACAAGTGAAACTCGATTCCTAACTGAACCCAAAGCAACACTTCTTTTGTTTTCGTTTGGTTGCTATTTCAGAAGAAAAAAATGTAATACTGATTGCACACCGAACACGTATTAGTGATAAGCAGTGTAAAAAAGTAATAAAACTTTTTTCTCGTACAATTTATTATATCCACGCAAGGAAGGTCTTGGGGGGGGGGGGTAATAAGACTGGGTTTGAAGTGTTCTCTTAACTAATAATTTTTATCTAAAAGCATTGGGTTTGAGATGTTTAACAAGAGACACAATTGTTAATGCATGCTTCTATTTCGAATTATCTTATAGGTTAGACTACAGAATTTTATTGCTCGTTCCAGTCATGAATGCAACACAAGTTGTAAAATACGAAAAGGAAAACGAACGGATACATTTATATCGCGATAAATTAATGTCAGGAAGTCGGACAAATAAACGAAGACGAATGACTGGTTGGAGCTCTGTATTTCGCGGCAGAAAAGAGAGGATTGACAAAGTGGGGACTATTATAGGATGCTCTTTCAAGATTAATTACGTGATAAACTTTGTGTCATTGTGGTTAATAAAGTATAGAGGAATTAGAAATCATGTTTTATTAGAACTGAAGCATATTTTACTTGTCAAAAATTCAGCTGATACAAGAGACAGAACAATCTTTATACACGATATCAGCGTGCTTGGATTCAAACGGCACACTCAACCCAATTACAATATATGAACTGTGTGCATTGCTTACAGTAATAACACGAAAGAGATGTTGAAGTCAAACGTTGTTGCGTCATGTACCAGGAGTCTGTTTAGGTGACATTTCAAGTTCTCATGGCGACAAGTATGAAGATGGCTGTCTCTGAAACGTCGGTTGGTTTGTGCCAGATTATACGGTGCAACATCCCAGAAGACAGCCATCTTCAATCTATTTAGGATAAAGAAGTAAAGCCTGCCGCTTCTTACTTCTGATTAAATCTCTCCGAAATATAGCTCAATGGAGCTAAGTGAACCAAAAAGTGATTTTGTTGTACCCATACAACTATTAGCAAGTTTCAGTGGATGATATATAATTCTGTTGTTTATTAAAAGGCAGTGATACAAAAAACGTTTCTCCCACTTATCGATTCTCACTAGGTAACCAAAGTTAAGTTAAAACGACAATCCTGCTTTCATTGCATCATGAACTTAGATATTCTATCATAGCTGACATTAAAAAATAACAGACGAAATGCACTCTGCCCAGTTTTCCTTTCACCAGACGTCAGTAAACTTGGGCGACATGAACAAGAAATTGTCTTTTCTCAGGACAGAAGTAAACTCGACATGAACTCACTTTAAATGTGTCTTGTCCTGTCGGTTTCAGCTGAGAAGTTTGCTATTTCTTGAAAAACGGAAAAGTGAAACCATGATCCTCTGCTTGAGGCTGGACCGCGCTTTCTTGAGCTTGCTTGTGCTCTCTCCAGGGCTCAAGGCTTGGGGCAGGGATCAGTGAGCAAGGCACCACAGGGTTGCTATAAAAGAACACAAGAATTTCACAGTGAGTTTACTATTTCCAGCAATTCGTTTCATACTCAGGAATGGTGTTGTTACCCATGGTCGAAAGACTTTTCGACCGTGGTGTTACCTAGCAAGGGACGATGTCTTGCGCTTGCGCAGGACTCCGCTCTTATTTAGCTTTTTGGTTGCTTGGTATGCAGTGACGAAAAGCAAAGAAATGTTCGAAATTTATCACATGGAATCGTTTGTTTAACTCTGCCGTAATTATTATTCACAATTTCACTGTCTGTAGCCTGTACAAAGAGACTTTACTTATTTCGTAGCTTAGTATTTTAATCTGATAGAAGTTTACCGACGTTTCAGAGGTCCTTGATACCTCCATCATCAGGGCGATAAGTCACTCACAACCCTGATTATGGAGGCAACAAGGACCTCTAAAACGTCTATAAACTTCTACCAGACTACACGGCGCAACAACCCAGAAGACAGCCATCTTCAAACCAGGCTTTAATATTAATGTTGTACATTTTATGTCTGGAGTCTAGCACATAAAACTACTGCTGCCTAAAATATTTACTTTTTTTGGAGGTTTAATTTTAATCAAATACAAGAGAAAAATTATTTTCCCCTATTTGTTTAGTTTTGCGAACAAAATTCCTATGCACTTGATTCTCGTAATAAGCGCGCTTTCGCATGACAGCACAGAAATTCTGTTGCCAGCGAAACATCAAAATGTCAACTGTAACATGTTTTCCGATTTATCGGCGATTCGTAGGAACGCATCCCCCGTGCATATCGAAAGTCGCGCCACACAAGAGTAGAGACATTGATTTATATGTTCAATAAATGCACACAAATCCATAAAGAACTAGTTTGGAAAAGTGCATTTTCCACTCGTGTTTGAACTGTTTTGGTTTGGGGCTTCTTACTTGTGAGATATCTGCTCGAAACCTCTGGCCTGCATGCTCTTAACATCATCCGCGTTGTCACAGATCAGCCGCGATATACTGCCTCTTCTGATCTCGTTCACTTGCTCTGCAAAGGTTAAACAGTGCGTTGATCAAGTATGTGTACTGTAGGCTACAGAATACAACGGGTCTGCTCCTTTATATCTACTGTTCAGGCTTGTATTAGGAGTCCTGATTGCTTGTTTTAAGTTGTTTGCAGCGCCATTTTAACTGCAAGGTTATGCAGCGTTGAATGAAATGAGAAGACATTCATGAATGGTATGTGAGAAATTTAGAAGGACACTATTGTGTATTACTGTCGATACGAAGAAGTGTGATGAATACTGCAGTCTGTATTTTGGTAGAATTTTGAGTTCATCTTTTGGACTGTTTTTATATAATTTGTGTTAGCATTTTAGATAAAAAAAAATGTGACAGTTAAATACCAACTCAAGTGGCGATCGTGGCTGATATTGCCTCGATACGATAATCGCATTTAAGATTTGTCGATCGCTAACGAAATTCTCATCTTGCACGCATATTTCTTTTGCAATCCGTCTTTTACTAGTCTGTGTGTTTTGTTGTATAAACCATTACCTTATTCTGCTTCTGGATTTCTTCGTATGGAACAGTTCATCAGTTCGCATAGACAGACCAAAGGAGAAACTGCTATACGTATCCGGTATTGAGTGAACTTTTTAAAAAAAAATCGGGAAAATTTTACAATCACAAAAGTAGCGTGAGCTATTACTTCAAATTCTGAAGTCAGAAGCTCACCTTATCCCCATTTTACTTAATATTTGCTGAAAATAGGCCATAGGATCTCTGCTCACTATGTCACACCAGACAGTAACAAGTTTCTCTGAACGCCAGGCCTTAACAAACTAGTGTTACGTGCGCCCCTGACCTAGTGTGAGAGACGCGTCCTTGACGCCGTTTTCAAAGAAGAATCTGTCGCCTGTTCGGGTCCTGTAGAACTGCTCAGTGATAATGCACATGAACGTGGGACCCACAAGGGCTCCCGGTACGATGGCTTCCAGCGAACCTCCCACAGTGAACTCCACGTCATCAGGATGGTGGTACAGGGAGGCCAGTTTATGTACACTCTAAACATAAGACAGTTGAAAAAACTTTGAATCACGTATTTCATTCAAATCAGTACAACTCGGGGCCAGTGTGATCTATCTCTGTGAATGAAGTAGAATTTTAAATGAAGGTGGATGCTCGGAAAATTATAGTAACACATCATTTCAGGAGGAATAACACGATTAAAACCACCAACTGTTTAAAATTACTAAACAAACTGAGACGAAACTTGAATAGAATCCTAAACTTTAGCACCTCTGAAAATTCTGTCAATATCCACGAGATCACACACCCCAGAAGATAGCCATCTTCTTACTTATCGCCATGAAAACCTGGAGTCTGACTATGAAATGTCTTGATTAGCTGATTATCAACTTCTCAATAAGATTATGATCTATGGAGTTAAAAACTGAACTGTTATGTTTTCATACTTCTGGATCAATGAGGTCTCCGAAATCCTCGAACGTTTGCGCTTTGGGATGGCCGCAATAATGTCGGTAGTCGTTGTACGAAGCCAGGCCGTGGTCACGTGATCGCTGTATATCGATGGCTCTCAGATCCTGGCCCAGATGTTTCCCGTTCCTGAAGAGGAACCATGTGATCTGCAAAACAAGTGGGCATTTGACGTTAGTGCTGAGGTGATGGAAGAAGAGTCTTCACTTACGTCAAAACTTTATTTGCTGGCCTTCGTAGCTCCTTAAAATTCTGTGGCAGATGCGCCCCACAAATGTCTAAATCAAACTGTTCTCGTGACCAGAGCGACAAGCCCATCAAAAACGCTTCAAACCTTAGGGAACGAAGCAGGAAATCAAAATATATATTCACCAGTGATTTACAGATCTTGTTACGAATTCTGATATACCAACAGTACTCAGATACTTACTTCTTTGGTGAAGTACTTGTCGCTCGCTTCCTGGGGCTGTGTGTGCATTCCTCGAGCTAGGTCGTCGAAGTTATTTCCCTCCTCTATAATCTGCGGGCGGTTGAAGTGATCGCTAAGCCGCAGAGCCTCGTAACTGGAACGGTGCTCGTCAATCAACCTGTTTACAACACGCCATTGAAGTTGACGATTAATTGGTGTTGATATCAATGAGATTTCAGATTCTAACGGCGACGAGTTTGAAGACTTGTTTTCTTGGATGTTACTACCTTTATCATCAGGGTGATGAGTCATCCCCCTGATGATGGTGTCAGCACGTACCTCTGAAACTTAGCAGACTACACGGCGCAATATCCCAGAAGACAGGAGGCTTCATACTCGCTGCCATTAGAGACTGAACTCAAAAAGTTCATTAACTTGTTCACAAGATCCTTGTACTGGGCCCTATCCTCAGCTAGCTGAAATCTTGTTTACATATTCACACACTTTCTTTAAGTTGATTTTTAATATTATCCTCTATCTACGTCTAAGTCTACTAAGTGATCTCTTGTAGATATAAATTCGTGTCTGCAATAAATTAGCGTCGAATTTGTTAAAGCACCACACAAATGCATGTGGTTATTCCTTCTTCATTTATTATTCTATGTTTTATAATTAAGTGATACGCTCTGCAATATTGGTGTGCCTGTAAGGTTAAGACTTGTAACTACCGAAAATATTTTACCTACTTGAGGAATCCGGCGATGTTTGTGTGGAAGAACCGAAACGCAGCAGTGGCGTGGTCATTTAACACGGAAGGGTCCACTTTCTCGTTGTAATCGTACGTGTAGTCCTTGGTGTTATACGTGAGACCATTGAATTCCGTAGTCTCCCTCCCTGAACGACGAAGATAACATTCGTGTAATGGAAGACAAAATAGCGACCAATTTTTATGCACGTGAGATTTTAGTTTCCCACGGCGGTGAGTATGAAGATGACTGTCTTCTGGGATTTTGCGCCGTGTAGTCTGACAGAAGGTTACTGACGTTTCAGAGGCTACTGGCCCTATCATCGGGCCTCATCACCCACATGATGGAGGTAGTAAGCGTCTTTAAAACCTCGGTAAACTTCTACCAAGCTGTGCGGTGCAGCAAACCAGAAGATAGTCATTTTTCATACATATATATATATATATATATATATATACACACACACACACACACAGGTAGGACTCGGTTTACGCCGGGGTTAGGTTCCTGATATTTCCGGCGTAAAATGAAGCAGCGTAAATTGAAGCAAACATATAATGGGAATATACGTAAATACATTAGGTTCCTTTCCAAGATTTTCAGTAATCAACACAAAATACTCGAAAAATGTTTTATTTTATCAAATTTACGTATTAAAAAATTGTATAATGTTAAAGATAATAATGTTTAAGAAAAAAGAAAGAAAATTTACTGCTTTAAAAACGATAGAATAGATGTCTGTTTCGTTTCCTTCTTTTTTGATAATAAGTTATAGTATGGCTGTAGAACTGTATCAATTCCTCTCTTAACGGTTGAGCTCCGCTCCCAGTTGGGGTCGTTGCATTTTATATTCCGTTTTTTGTTTAATTATTTAAATTTTAGGCCGTAGATTATAATTTATTATTATAGTTTTATAACAACGTCGGGACCATCTGTGTCTAGGAAGTCGGGCAGAGTCATGACCCATCACTCCCTCCAATCGTGATCTATGAGAGGCGCAAAAGTGAAGCGGCGTAAACCAAGTCCTACCTGTATATATAAGGATTGCATTGGACCGAGACAAACTAAAAGTACCTTTTTGTAAGTCTTAATGTTGAACTGCCAGTACCATATTTCATTTAATACCGTGTAAATAGTTTCGAGGATGAAACGAGTCAAATGCCAAAACACGAATTTGAATTAACATAAACGTGGTCGAGATTGGATTAGTAAATCAGCTTACCAAGGATTATGGGCAGCCACTCGTTATATGTAACTCCCTGGTGCTGTGCAATGTTGATTTTTCTGGCTTCTTGGTAAAGGCGCTCGTCGTCCCAGTGAGGGTTCAGGCGGGCCAACTCGCGCGCCAGGCGATTATGCTCCCTGAGCTGCAGAATCTGGAACACCGTCAGCTGGGGATTCTGGTTTACCCGAACATCACCTATAGCAGACCCAGAACACACAGTTTGAGCCTGGTGGGGGGGGGTTCCCCCTCTGTCGTCAGTCGGACTTTCAGGGGAACATTTTTGCAGTTCCTTGTCAAAGAGTCCACTGTCGTGTTCCTAGAACTTTATTTCCCACTTGTAACCGGTTAAAATGACGTGTTCATTCGTTTGCCGTAGTTTACCGATGGTTCATTCAACTGTCTTAGTCAATCAAGTGACATTAACCACTCTATTCTACCATTGACGGATATAGATAGTAGAGTCTAGTCACACCGTGTCCTGTGAGACAAACCTTTCTTCCAATTAAGCACAAAGGAACGGTAACATTATGATTATACTGGCTTCCTGTTAGGCATCAGATCCTAAAGTTTTTGAAAAATAATGGTAGTTTTTGGTTGTATTAGTACTATCCGGTATCATGTGGTTCTGCGAATTTTGAAGACAATCACGTGAGCCTCTGAAAGAATGAAAACGAGAATTTGTGCTTTCGTCACTGGAAAAGCGAATTTAGTAGTATCTTCAAAGCGGCAGGTCAGTGTTATTACATCCATTAACACAAAGCAAAATGAAAGACAACTCTTTTACAACTCTCAAGATTTCATTTAATGGCTCTACAGCTGGATCGTCTTGGGTGTCAATTCTCAACACAAGATACTCGATGGTATATTTATATGTGGGCACTGCCGTTGAAAACTGGCATTCTTGTCTCTAGAATTTTTGTCTGCGTTCTAATCCCGCAAATAGTGCAATGTTTTCATCACCACTAACTATCCCATTTATCTACATGTGTGAGAGAGCGTCTCTCTGACATCGTACCTGCCAGGTAACAAGCCTCTGATTCCGAGATGTGATCACACATCGCCGACTTGTTGTTATTGGACGGCGGGAACTCACGTCCGTACTTCACTTCCACTCTGAGACGACCGCCCTTGAACTCCCTGATGGATTCCGCTACCTGTTGACTGGAACCATAAACGTTCGAGGAATCCAAATAGTGCGTCACAGCGGTGATCTGCAAAGCGAAATTTAAGGGCGATTAAGATAGAATGATGGACGAGGGTGGTGATAAGCCAGTTAAGTCCCCTCAAGGACCGCCTCTTGTCCGCTCAAAGTCACGTCAATTTCAGTTCGTGTGACACCTGGCTTATATAGTCTGGTCGTTTATTCTTTGCTTCGTTTTAATCATGATTGCCGCTGATTGTGTCGAACATAAACGGGAAATATGTTTTCAGTTATACTACAAGTTCAGTTACCTTCGTTTCTTTCTTAAATCGCTTGTAGCAGTTACCTGTTCTGCAGCTTTTTGGCCGGAATTACAACCCTGGCTGACGTCGTTTGTCGTTCTGACGAATTCCATGCACTGTATTCCTTCTTTGGAGTAGACCGGGTCGTGGTCGGGGATCCGTATCGGAAAGCAGGCTGGGTTGCGGGAGTCCTTAGGGAGCGACGTGCTCAGGTCTTGTCTACAGCACCTGGTGGCGTGCGCCTCTGTTAACAAACACAAGACTTTTACAACTGTCACACGATATTTTCCTGCAAGATGTACTTTAATGTTATCAGGATCCCAAACTCCAAAACTTGTTTTAACAATCACTAGTGTCATAGGCAACGGCTCCATCAGTGAGTCTCGTAAGTGATAAGTCAGGCGATGATTCTGCTGGAGTTAACTGTGTGTGTCTGCAAGGAACAATGTTCTTCTTGAAGTATAAGCAAAAATATGATACCCGAGTTCCTTGTAGAGAAATAAAAAATCTGAGTATGAATTAACAAGTATACCCTGAACGATAATCGATTTTTGCCATGTTCTCTTCTATGAAAATAATATTTTCTGTATGTGACATAATATGTTAGATAAAATATTTTATTCTATACTGAAAAAGGCACACTAACTTACTCCATGGAAAAGAGTCCTTATTGAGGAACTATTAATCGTTAAGGTGCGTACCCGTCACGAACCTTAATGTTCATATCGGCGTTCACAAGAACCCACCACAGCATCATATTCTGGACCAGATGCATCCATTTCTCATGCATATGGCCTGTAGCTTTAAGATCCATTTTCTTCCAGGCCTGCACTTCCCTTCACGTTTCCTGCACTGCTCATTTCGCCCATTCGTGCTAATTTTCCCTTCACCTCTTACGTATTTGAATTGTTTGACCATCTGAACGACTACTCAAGATGAACTCTTATTCCATGGAGATTTTGCGAATCTCTGTTAGCTTTATTATGATAAATTTCCGTCGTTTTACGTGTTTCTCTGAATGTATTTGTTATTTTTAATTCATATCTCACCATGTACAACCCATTTTCGCAAACGAGACTTTGACGACAGAGTCATGACGCGATCACACTTGTATAGTAGGTAATGCCACTGCCTAATCCTAGAAGACTATAACATGGTTGTATAATTATTACGTATATCTGCTTAGAAAAGCACGGCCAACATTTTAGTTAGATTTTAAAGCCTCGGTTTAACTGCCAGTGTTTTCTGGTTGATTTTGAACCTATTAGAGCCCGTTCACACTACACCGAATCGGCCGTTTTATCGAATCGGTTATTTTACCGTACACCACAGTGGCAATGCACGTTATATGTGAATGTTCACATGAAACGGCTGTCGACCGTGTACGGTAAACGCACCTAATCGGTCGCTGATGACGTTCGGTTTTGTCACTGGAAACCGAAAGAGGCGATGCGGTAAAAGAAGCGAATCGGTCGCCAGTAGCGCATGTATTATAATGGAGTGCGTTCCGACAATTCGGTTTTCCTACCGTAGAGGAAAGCATCCGGAGGCTGCTGACCAGTCGGTACAGCGCACTTGTATATGGCATATGGCTAATTTTTCTTCAGGACTAATGCTTCTTCTCATAGTTGTGTTTTGTTTTGTCAAATCATCTTCCACTCATCTTAACAGGTAATCAAAAGTAGACATCGACATTCGAAAATAATTGAAAAATTTCAATTCATCTGTCCTCAGTTGGCACATCAGTGTGTGATAGGATCCCCAACGAGGCCTATCTCTCACAATAGGGTGTAACCAATATCTCCTATCGATACTGTGACGACGACGATACCAGTACATAAGGAGAAACGTATTAAAGTCCATCTTGGGAGCTGGCCCGGGAGCGAGTGCGTCGCAATACGGTAACAAAAGCGAAATGTGTGAACACTAGTAAAAGTTTGCACCGTTTCGATGAAATTGCCGATACGATAAAAAATACCGTACTGTGTGAACGTAGCCTTAGGGCACTAGTTTCTGACAACCTCACTCACTTCCTTGAGTGGTGCCTGCAGCAAGGGACATGTCATGCGTGATGATTTGTCCGTATTGCATCAAGGCCAGCGTCCATTTTGGATCCGGGATTTTGGCATCGGGGAAAAGAACGGCGCTGATCTGCCGAGCGCTCGTGAGCTTGTGGCCCGTTACAGACACGGGCGGCGCCTGCAGACCTGGCGGTACAAAACAAGTGTTCATATAGTCAGTAAAATAAACATGTTGTATTTTGGTACATTAGAGGAACTTGCATATGAGTAACTGAAAGATGAAATGAATATTTCGTATTATACTAACACAAATAAACTTCGCAGCGTGAAGAC